AGCCATCAGTGGCGACGGTGATGCTCAGAGTGCCATGCTCGCCTCGTGGGTCTCCCAGGCCTCCTTCAACCCGCCTGGCGTCACCGTTGCTGTGAGTCCCTCCTCCCCATGTCATGTCATGCCATGCCATGCCATGCCATGCCCCTTCTATGTCAATCCTCGTTCTCCGCTATGTCATGCGCCTATCATGCCATGCCCCTCATACCATTGCCCCACCATACCATGCCCTTATCATGCCCTGCCCCCACCATGCCCTGCCCCCACCATACCATGCCCCCACCATACCATGCCCCCACCATACCATGCCCCCACCATGCCCTGCCCCCACCATACCATGCCCCCACCATGCCCTGCCCCCACCATACCATGCCCCCACCATGCCCTGCCCCCACCATACCATGCCCCCACCATGGCCTGCCCCCACCATGCCCTGCCCCCACCATGCCCTGCCCCCACCATGCCCTGCCCCCACCATGCCCTGCCCCCACCATGCCCTGCCCCCACCATGCCCTGCCCCCACCATGCCCTGCCCCCACCATGCCCTGCCCCCACCATGCCCTGCCCCCACCATGCCCTGCCCCCACCATGCCCTGCCCCCACCATGCCCTGCCCCCACCATGCCCTGCCCCCACCATGCCCTGCCCCCACCATGCCCTGCCCCCACCATGCCCTGCCCCCACCATGCCCTGCCCCCACCATGCCCTGCCCCCACCATGCCCTGCCCCCACCATGCCCTGCCCCCACCATGCCCTGCCCCACCATGCCCTGCCCCCACCATGCCATGCCCCCACCATGCCCTGCCCCCACCATGCCCTGCCCCCACCATGCCCTGCCCCCACCATGCCCTGCCCCCACCATGCCCTGCCCCCACCATGCCATGCCCCCACCATGCCCTGCCCCCACCATGCCCTGCCCCCACCATGCCCTGCCCCCACCATGCCCTGCCCCCACCATGCCCTGCCCCCACCATGCCATGCCCCCACCATGCCCTGCCCCCACCATGCCCTGCCCCCACCATGCCGTGCCCCAACTTTCCATGACCCTACCTTCTCCACCTTCCTTCCTCACCATTTTCCACCCCCTCCTGCATCCCCTCCTGCATCCCCTCCTGCATCCCCTCCTGCATCCCCTCCTGCTTACCCTCCTTCTCCCTTGCCCTCTCTCCATGCTCCCCTCTTCCCCTCTACATGCCTCACTTCCCCACATGCCTCACTTCCCCACATGCCTCACTTCCCCACATGCCTCCTCTCCCCCACAAACTGTCCTGTCCCACAGGTGGCCAAGGAGAGGGCGCTCGAGTCGCTGGTGCTGGTGGGGGGCAAATTCGCCCTGACTGTGCTCCCCTTTCTTCCCCACATGCCTTCGTCCCCCTTCTCCCCATGTGACACCCCCCTCCCCCTCCGCCCAGGTGGCGAAGGAGAGGGCGCTCGAGTCGCTGGTGCTGGTGGCGGGACGTTGGCCCTGAGCCATCCCCCACACGCCTTCCTCCCCTATGTGACCATCCCCCACACGCCTTCCTCCCCTATGTGACCATCCCCCACACGCCTTCCTCCCCTATGTGACCATCCCCCACACGCCTTCCTCCCCTATGTGACCATCCCCCACACGCCTTCCTCCCCTATGTGACCATCCCCCACACGCCTTCCTCCCCTATGTGACCATCCCCCACACGCCTTCCTCCCCTATGTGACCATCCCCCACACGCCTTCCTCCCCTATGTGACCCTCCCCCTCCTCCCCAGGTGGCGAAGGAGAGGGCACTCGAGTCGCTGGTGCTGGTGGGGGGCAATCCCCCCTAACCAATGCGCTCCCCTCCTCACCACCTGCACCCCGCCCCGTACTCTCCTCCCTCCCCTCTTCCACTCCTACAGGTGGCGAAGGAGAGGGCGCTCGAGTCGCTGGTGCTGGTGGGACCCATTCCATCAACCCATACACTCCCCTCTTCACCTCCTGCACCTCTCTCCGGGTCCCCCCCCGCCCCCCCCCCTCCCTCTCGTCGCTCTCTGCCCCCCCCCCCCCTTCTCTTCTCCCCCACAGGTGGCCAAGGAGAGGGCACTCGAGTCGCTGGTGCTGGTGGGGGGAAAATTCGCCCTGAGCGTGCTCGGGGAGAAGAACGTGGGCGCAGTTTCCAAGCAGCTTCTCAAGCCGTTCCAGCCCGGGGAACCCAGGTTCGGCGATCTCCCGACCAAACAGGCCAGCAACGGCGCCACCATCCTGGCTGATGCGGTGCGGATGCATGAGGAGGCATGGGAGGCATGGGATGCATGGGGAGGCATGGGATGCATGGGGAGGCATGGGATGCATGGGGAGGCATGGGATGCATGGGATGCATGGGATGCATGGGATGCGTGGGATGCATGGGGATGCATGGGATGCATGGGATGCATGGGATGCATGGGAGGAATGGGATGCCTGGTGATGCCTGGTGATGCATGTGCTTGTGCATGTGCTCCTGTAGCAGATGTATGAATGGACATGCGAGCACACATGTGAACCTAGTTCCCATCCCTTCCTCTCTCTTCCATTCTTTCCAAATGCGCATCAGATCTCATACCTGGAGTGCCCATCTCTCTCAGTGTCTCATTTCACCCAAATCTGCACATCACACTCAAATCCTCATCGTGTCTCCTAACTAGAGTGCATGGTGCAAGCACACACATTTTTTTTCCTCACTCTCACTCCCTTCCATTCTTTCCAATCCTGCATCAGGTCTCCTATCTGGAGTGCACGGTGCAACCGCGCAAGTCAACAGATCCCCATCCCTCCCACTCTGTGAATTCTTTCCCATTGCGCATCAGGTCTCCTACCTAGAGTGCACGGTGCAAACGCGCATGGAGACGGGCGACCACTGGGTCGTCTATGCCACCGTGGATTCAGGCAATGTCATTGTCAGTTCCTCTCCCCTGCCTTTTGCACCTGCCCCTCCCTCTCCCTTGATTCAGCACCTGCCCCTCCCTCTCCCTTGCCTTTGCACCTGCCTCTCCCTCTCCCTCCCTTATCTGCCCCTTCTCTCCCTCACTCTCTCCCGGTCCCCCCCCACTCACTCAAGCTGCTTATCTCTTTCTCACTGCCAATGGCGTCTCTCTCCTTTTCCCCTCCTTTGAAGCTCTTCTCTCTCGAAAGGGCATAGCAGTGCAGGCCATGTCCATTCCCTGTAATCACATGTTTTGCACATGTGGTTGAAGCTCGTACTTGGTTACGCTGACTCTTCTCTCTCAGTCTTGATACGTCTAATATGCATCTCGTATCCCTGTAGTGCTGTGACCAGCTGGTTGCTTGCAATGCTCCCTTACCTTCACCCCTTGGCATTTTGCGGGCATTTTGATTCACATTCCTCCGTTTCCTTGCCCAACCCGCTAACAGGACGAAAAGACCCTCACAGCACTGCACCACCGCAAGACCGGCAGCCGTTACTGAAAAGAAAGACTGCTTACTCAGGTTTGGTTGCTGAAGTGTTCACAAAAGCATCGTTCGCCCGAAAGCTTGTGCTTCTGTGATATATGATCCAGTACGAATATTTTGGTTGTCTTCAACCATCATCATAGCATGGGTGAGGTGGTTTTCAATAATATTATTGTGATTATGTGTGCAATGCAAAGACCAAAGATGTTTTATTGGGTGTTAGATGATGGTATGTACGTAAGGAGACGGGCTCTCCAAAGTCGCCATCTTTTCCTAAAGCAGATCGGCCTAGAGCGTGAATATTTGAGAAGACTTTCTAGATCTGTCAGGGATCTTGGCGATTTGCCCTGTTGGTGTGTCGTGTCGCCTTAGCACTTTGCCACGGACCCACCTTATCCAGCGCCACATCATTTGACGCCATCGCTGACGGTCGTCGTGGTGACTCCGCTGGTTCAGCTTCCTGCCGAGCCTGGGCTCGAAATTCGTGGTTCGCGAGGACGTTACCCTCGACTACTTGTTTTCGCAAATTACATCCAATTTGGAGGAACTTGCTGGTTTGACGACGCAGCTGCTGCAGTTCGCCGTCGCGGCACTCTGTCGTGAGCCCAAACGTACTTGGCACATGGCAGCATCACTTGAGTACGGGTGGCGGGAAGCTATCCATACCTTTCGCTCTGCCAGAATCATAGCTGGTTAGACGAAATTCCACGTCATGTTTGCGTTCGTCATTCACGCCTCGACTTTTCCCAACCACCCGCACCGCATCGAGCTGCTCCAACATCAAGGCCAGAGGGCCACTGCAAACACATTCCCTTCCGCCTATCCGCGGAAAGTCGCGTTGATTCAGAAGGCATCAAATCAATCCCTCCCCGCACATCAGTTGTTTCTATGCGCGCTCGCCTCGAATACTTGCGCTTCCGCCAGGTGTGGTTGCGCCCAATGCCGTAGTGCACGGGTAGCGTTACAGCGCAATAGGGAATCTCGCGACCTTTAGCAAGGAGGCAGCGCTGCTTTTGGGTTGGGGTTGTGGCTGGCATGAGTCAAGACCAGCGCACGCTCCGTCACCCGCTCTCCCTCCCCCCTCGCTCTTCGCTGTCATACCCTCCTGCTGAGCTAAGCTCGACTTTTTTCGAACTCGCCTCGTCACTAGAACTAGCCTTTTACCTTTTCGTCTCGACTCTCGAGCCTCCAAGCCGGCGTTTTCAAGTTCACTGATCAGCTCGACACACCCGCCGTCTGGGGTACCTTTTTCTGAAGTGACCGCATTAGAGTTTCAAAAAGAATTGCCGACCCTGGTGAACGTAGTTAATTTGCGGGCCACGTGGACTAGCTTTGTCAGAGGCATACATAAAAAAGATGGAGCGTGTATTCTCAGTAGACGATATTCTCGGTACGTTTTGGAAAGTCGACGCGCAGGGCGATGCCGCTGCGGCGGCGTCCGCCGCCGCCGCAGCCGCAGCAACCGGCGGAATGTTCCCCCCTCCCTCTATGCTCCCCCCCGGGGTCCCCTTCCCTGGCCATCCGCCCGGTGTAACCGGGGGGGGCGGTGGCGGTAGCGAGTTACAGCGGCCTATACCGCGTACAGGATCGTTCCACCGTATGAACCGCAGCTCCTCGGAGTGGGCCTTTCACGAATTCGTTAAAGAGCAGGGTCTAACCGGAGTGGGCGCATTAGGCGCCGTAGGAGCCGCCGCAATTGGCGGCGGAAGCGCCGCTGGCGCGTCCGGCATGGGTCCGCCTGGAATGAACCCGTTAATTCCGGGTCTAAGCCAGGTCTCGAGTCTTGATAAGCTGCTAGGCGACAGTCCCTCGAAGCTTAATCTCGCGTCGTACTATCGCGGCTTAGACGGCGGAGCAGAAGGCGCGGGTGGGGCGGCGGGATCGGGGGCAGGAGCGGGAGCGGGAAGCGGAGATGGCGCAGGGAAGCCGGGCGGAGATGCAGGCGGGGAACAGCAGCGGCTTGGGCTCAGCGGGTTAGGGAGGACCTCTGGGGGGGAGGCGGGGGCAGGGGCGCGGACGGATATGGAGGCGGGCGCTGTAGCCGGCGGCGACGGCGGCGGCGGCTCAGCGGCCGCTGCTCCCGCGGGGTTTGCGGCACCTGTCGGCGCGGCGTCGGGCTTCTCCCCCCCGTCGGCGGCGCCGAGCACGGTTCTCGCCCCTGGCGGCGCGGCGGCAGCCGGAAACGGCGGCGGCGGCGGCGGCGGTGCAGGGAGAAGAGCAGGCATAGCGAGCCCTCCCCGCCGTGGCTTTCAGGCCCATCCGCCCGCTCACAGACCCGCAACCCACGGCGCAACAGGCGCTACCGCATCAGGGGGAGCAGCCGGCGGAGGAAGAGGAGGTGGGGGAGCAGCAGGGGCAGGGTCCGCGCGCGGGCTCTCATCCCGCGAGGCATCTGAAGAGCCGCGATCCGACGGCGAGGGCGCGCGGTCCGAAGGCGAGTACGAGTTAGTGGCGTCCCTAGAACACCTAACCGACCCGGAGGAGATTAAGAAGGTGAAGCGTATGCTGTCGAATCGCGAGTCGGCGCGGCGGTCGCGGCGGCGCAAGCAGGCGCACGTGAGCGACCTGGAGGGGCACGTGCATCAGCTGCAGGCGGAAAACGCGAGCCTGGCGAGCTGGCTGGGGGAGATTGGGCGGAAATACAACGAGGCGGCGGTTGACAACCGCGTGCTGAAATCCGACGTGGAGGCGCTTCGAGCCAAGGTAGGGAGCGGATTAGGTTAGGTAGGGAGGTAAGGTAGGGAGTGGCTTGGGTCAGGTTCGGAGGCGAAGCAGAGGAGTAGCTTAGGGCGGGCTGGTTTAGGCTCGCGAATAGTGGGGTTACGGTTGGGCTGGTTTAGGGGTTGGGAGTGTTGGGTGTATTGGACTATTGAGTGGAAAACTAATGGTTGGGTGTGGTGTATGTCACAAATGACTCATCACATCCTCTCTCTACCTGTGGGTGTGCATGCGTGTCTGTGTGTGCGTGCGCCTGCCTGTGCCTCTGTGTGTGTCTCTCCCTTCCTTTTCCTCCCTCACAGGTGAAGATGGCAGAGGAGATGGTGGGACGGGTCGCACACATGGCACAGTACATGTACCATCAGCCAATGGCGTTCCGCCACGACGCAGCCTCCGCCGCCGCTGCTGCCATGCCATACCCCTCGCCCATAGACCTTCCATACTATCCGCGCCCCCACCGTGCATCCCAACCCCCACCCTCGCCTTACCCCCTCCCTCCACATGCTGCCGCCCACGCCGCCCAGACTTCTCATGCCGCCCATGCCCATGCCGCCCAAGCCGCCCACGCCTCTCATGCCGCCCATGCTGCCTCTCTCTCCCTCGATCCGCACCAAGCCAATGGCGCGCCGCCAACTGCCATGCACCCAAACCTCCTGCCAGGCCTCGGGTTAGCGCCAGGCATGGACCCGAACGTGTACGGTATGATGCAGGCAGGCATGGTGCCGGCAGGTATGGTGGGGGCGATGCCTGGTGCCGTACCTGGAGGCGATGGTTCGGGAGGCATGGGAGCACTGGGGTCTTCCTCTGCTGCTGCTGCCCATGCTGCTTATGCCGCTGCTGTAGCAGCAGCGGCCGCAGGTGCAGCATCAATATCAGGAGGAGGAGGAGGAGGAGTAGGAGGGGGATTAGTACCAGGTGGGACAGGAGCAGGGGGGGGTGTAGGAGGAGGAGGTGGAGGAGGAGGAGGGTCACCTGCAAGAGGAGTGAGAGAGGGGAGCAACGGAGGAGGAGCAGGGGGTGGAGCAGGAGTGGGGGCCACTGGTGGGCCTGGTGCAGAGCCGACTGAAAGCGCTGGGGGAAAGATGGAGCGATCAGCCAGTCTGCAGCGCGTTTCAAGCCTGGATCATCTGCAGAAACGAATGAGAGGGGCGGGAGCAGCTGACGTTTCAGCTGCCACGTCAGCAGCAGCAGGGGGAGGGGCGGCGGGGGTAGGGGGAACGGTGGCAGGGGCGCCAGCAACAATGGCGGGGCATGAAGCTGCAGCGGCAGCGGCGGCGGCTGCAGCAGCGGCAGGGATGTGGGCGCTGGGGTGGCATGGTGCTGCTGCGGGGGATGGGGCAGCTGCGGGTGGGGGGATGGGCGGGGGCATGGGTGGGGGGATGGGTGGGGGGATGGGTGCGGCGGGTATGTCTGGGCCCAGTGGAACGGGAGCAAGTGCGTGAGTGGTGCATTGTGTCGGGATTGGTGTGGCATGGCACGTTACACGCATAAGAGTACATGCGAGTATTGGGTCGGCATGGTGCGGGTGTTGCAAGAGGGTGGCTCAAGCGAATTTTGTGTGAGCTGTGGCGAGGAAGGGGCCTTGAATCTTGATGTGCCGCATGGCACAGCAGCATTGAGCATTCTTAGAAGCTCTGAGCTTGTGCAAAATCTGTTGGTTGCTTTGGCTGCCTTCTGGAGTCTAGAGTGAAATTTCATCCTGTACAAGTAGCTTTTCTCGTGCTACTTTTAGGATAAGCAGGGTGTGGCGAAGAAGTTGTGAGTCTACAACTAACTGCTTCGTGCTCACATACAGATTTGCATATCTCATTCAGTCTATGCAATCTATGCATTTGTTTGTATAGCATAAGGTCAGTAAGTGTACAAAGGTTGCGTTATGGATTTAGTGGGTTGATTCATTGACTTATACGCATCTGACAATACACCCTGTTTTTCGCTATTGTGAATGCCGGTATACTGAACCCTGTGGCTCATCGCGCCAAATTACGAGCTATAGTCAACTTTTGCACCAGTTCGGTTTGACGAGGTCAGCTACCTTTGAAGACGGTCGGTTGAAATTTTAATATGGCTCGGTAGGGTACCCAGGTTAACGAAATTTCGGATCACCCGCCTCCTAGAGACGGTTATTGTAAACTTTTCGAATACGTCCAAGGAACAATTCCACTGTTCAGTGTGTTTCCGTAGTTCAGTGTAGCGAGAAACAGGGTGTATCATCACACCATCGACAGCACGGCGCACGTGCCCAGGTCCCCTCCAGGTCATTTCACATCACACACTTCCCTCGCCATAAGCAATGCTCGAATCGAGGCATTTTGCTGTCGCACACTCTGGCACGCCGTACCCCAGATTCGGCGCGCATTTCCCCAGGCAAGCTGGCGATTCCCCCACTTATAAGGAAAATGGAGAAGATTAGAGGCTGAAGCGCAAAATATCAGGAGAAATGGCAGCTGACGCGGCGAGGCATGATTGCTGTACATAGCTGTTCATTTGCACCGTCATTTACGCCTGAGCTCGCATTGGTCAAAACAGTTACCCCTCGAGAACAGCTTTTGTTGCTTATTCTGGGAAAACCCCGCTGTATCCCTTCTTACCGAACTTATAACGAATCTCAAGGTTGCAACTCATGAGCAAGTCCCATCCCAGCCTCCCATGATTCCATCCCATTCTGTCCCAACTCATCCCCATTCAAATCTGCCTTGGTTTGTTGCTCCTTTCTCAACTGTTCCAATTCAGGAGCTTCTGAATCCTGAATTCTGTTCCAAGGCTTGCTTGCTTCTCCCAGTCATCCGTTAAATTCTTGGTAGTAAGTTAGTGGCGCCTTGTCAGATCCCCCGTAAATCTTTTGGAAGTCCGGATTAGTATTCGGTTCTCTCGCGCGCTTCGCCGAGATGGAAGCCATCGCTAATCCGACCCGCGTACCCCAAGTAGGAGCCGTTGCTGGATCGGTCGCAGCTCAGACCAAGCAGCACGGAGCAGTCTCTAGCGTTGCTATCCCAAAAAAGAGCCCGTTTTTCGGAAACCGCGTCTCTGTCTCTTCCGTCTCGGCTGGAACATCCAGTGCTCGGAAATCCCTCAAAGTGACTGCTACAGTCGCTGACGGGATTCCTGCTGCCGAAACAGCATCCGTTACCATTGAGATTGACAACTCCGAGCCTCAATGGACCGTTGTCAAGCTGTCTGCTCTGAACCAACCTGGCCTGTTGAATCGTGTCACCTCAGTCTTCAGGTATGTGAATGTGGAGTGCACTTGAAATCTCGTCGCTCGCCGATAAGAAAAGAAAGAGGGGAACCTGACGTGTGGCGTTTTTTACAGGGATCTGAACGTTCAGGTGGTGAGGGCTCTGGTGGGTACTGCTGATGATGCAGTTCTGGACACCTTCTACGTCCAGAACGCTGCTGGCAACAAGATCGAAGATCCGTCTGAACTCGATGTGAGAATCAAAGATCATCAATGTCACATTCTGCACCACATACTGAGCTGTCTTCGAGCATGCTTTGCCTGAAAACGTCCAAGTTTCTTAGCATTGCTACTCCAAACAGTGTCTTCTCCATTGCAATCTGTGTGGCTTCCCGCATGTCCGAACAGATCCTGAAGAAGGCTCTCGAGGTTCTGGCCGTCCCCGTGGCGTCTCCGCCAGCCGTGCGTCCCTCTGCGGTGCAGGTTGGGAGCCCTGTAGTGGACCTCCGGAAGCGGCTCAAGGACGTGTATCTGAGCAACGACGTGCTCTCCATTCAGGAGAGCATCGTGAACCACGTCGAATACACTCTCGCCCGTGATCGCCACCAGTACGTGAAATCCGCGGCTTCCTTGGTCTAGCTGCTGCAGCTGGAATACCTCTTGGTCACATGCAGCAAAAATTTCAGAGAATTCAGCGGCCTGATGTGTTTGGTTTGAATGTATTGTCGTTTTTTTTGTTCTGTCTGGCAGTTTCGACTCGTATGAGTGCTATCAAGCAGTGGCTCACAGCGTGAGGGATCGCCTGATCGAGAGCTGGAATGACACCAACGAGCACTTTCGCGCCGCTGACCCCAAGCGTGTCTACTACCTCTCCATGGAATTCCTCATGGGTACGCGCAGTCAACGATAACAATAATAATGAAAACTAAGAGAAACAACCGGGTCGCAAGCTCCACTGACTTTCTGTCGTCTTCTTTTCATTCTACAGGCCGGTCGCTGCTTAACAGCCTCTACAATCTCAACCTGCACGATGTCTACGCACAGGCTCTCTCACAGGTACCGTACCTTTATCCTGCACATGCGAGAATTCATCCTGTGGTCCTTCTGTTCTGAAGCATTGACGTTTGCTATAATGTGTGTTGGTTTGTTAATGCGCAGCTTGGGTATAAACTGGAAGATATTGTGGAGCAGGAGCGTGATGCTGCACTCGGCAACGGTGGCCTTGGAAGGTAAAGAGCTGATATTGTTCAGTTTTAGGATCCGGCGCGCATTCGTGCACAATCTGACTGAGTTTAATTACGCGGTTCCCTCATGCTTCTATCCCGCGCCGTTTTGCAGGCTCGCAGCCTGCTTCCTTGACAGCATTGCCACTCTCGACCTTCCCGGATGGGGGTACGCGCCTGATCTCCCTGACAAACTAATGGCTTTTATTCCACTGGATTTGGTGACGGTTTTTTCATAGTAATGTCAGCAGAATGTCAGAGAGGTAACATTGGTCTCATTTGGATTGTGCAGGTACGGCATTCGCTACCAGTACGGCATGTTTCGTCAGACCCTTGAGAATGGGTTCCAGCACGAGCAGCCCGACTACTGGCTCACCTTCGGCAATCCTTGGTACGCCCAGCATCGTCCCGCGAACCAAGTTTCTTTCTCAAGATCACTTCCAAACTACCAATTTATTTGCGCTGTTTCGACTTCGCGGATCTCAGCTACCGTTTGGTGTTTTGTATGCGTTCTGTGCTGTGCAGGGAGATTGAACGGACTAACATTTCGTACACTGTGAAGGTGAGAGCTGAATTAGTGATGAGTGCTAAGGTCGGGAACGAGTATAAGTGGAACGATGGAATAATAATTCCGAGGATCAGCAGTAATGGAAACGTAGAGCTTCAAATCTGGCTCGAAAGTGGTTTTGGCTTTATATTGTTGCCATGATCAGATCAAGCACGGGACTAGTTAATGACCGTCTGCGCCTGCCTAAAGATTTCTTATCAACACGTCGCCGCATTCTCACATACTTTTCGTTCCGTGGTGGGCAGTTCTACGGCCACGTGGAGCAGTATACGGACAGCAGGGGTTACCAGCGCTTCAACTGGGTTCCCGGGGAGCAGGTACACCCTCCACTGCCTCACTCGCAACCCATCGTTTACTCTGATGTTCCGTCCATCAATTTGAGTAACCACTATCCAGGGTCTGAGGCACGTTCATGCTCTCCTTGTCCGAGCATCTTCAATCACGACTCACCACCATCCCCTCTCTGATCGTGGTTGTAGGTGCAAGCAGTGGCGTACGACAACCCAGTGCCCGGCTACGGCACCAACAACACCATCAACCTGCGCCTGTGGGCCGGCAAGCCCTCCACGGAGTTCGATCTGCAGTCCTTCAACACGGGCGACTATGTCGCTGCCATTCTCTCCAAGTATCCCTCCTCTCCTGCATCATGTGCTGCTTGTTTATGAGATAATAACTTCATTAATCCCCCTTCTTCCCCCCCCCCCTCCTCCCTCCTCCCTCCTCTAATTCTCCGATCCTCGCCCCTTCATTCCTCACTTCCCTTTTTTTGTTCCATTCTTGTTGAAGACATGCCTGCTTCTAAATCCTGTTGCTGTCCTGCCCTGCCAAACCAACTCTTGTCCTGCAGGCAGCGCGCGGAGTCGATCAGCAGCGTGCTGTACCCCGACGACCGCAAGCCGCAGGGCAAGGAGCTGCGGCTGAAGCAGCAGTTTTTCATGGTGTCGGCCTCGCTGCAGGACATCATCAGGCGCTTCAAGCGGACCGAAACCGACTTCACAAAGCTCCCCGAGAAGGTTCGTCCACGTCGCCCTTCCTTGACACGTCATTTGTGGCTTTCCGTTCCTAAGCTTGGGACGCGGGTGTTACATGTCCGAGATTACAGTCCGCAGCTTGTCGTGTTGAACCTTCCCGCTGCTAACCTTTACTCTCCTGCTCTTCCCGCCGCTCCTCGCTTCCTCCCCCCCCCCCCCCCCCCCACCTCCCTCTCTCCTCCCCCCCTCCCCGCTCCCCCACCCCCGTTCCCACACCATACCACTCCCCCCGCTTCCCTCACCACGCCTTTCCCCCCCACCACGTTGTGCACACCCACACCAGGCGGCGATGCAGCTGAACGACACGCATCCGACGATCAGCGTGGCGGAGCTGATGCGGCTGCTGATGGACGAGGAGGGGCTGGGGTGGACGCTGTCGTGGCAGATCACGCAGAAGGTCTTCGCCTTCACCAACCACACCGTGCTGCCCGAAGCCCTCGAGAAGTGGCCCGTCAGCCTCATGGAGAGCCTGCTGCCCCGCCACATGCAGGTGAGGGATGGAAAGGGGGAGGGGGGTGGGGAGGAAATCTTATCGAATCTACTTGGAGGGCTGACTGGGTGCTGCTATGTTGGAAAGCGTTTTTCAGTGAAGCACTCGTGCGCGAATGCCCTTTTCGTTTTGGTGGCTTTGCTGACTCGGCCCTTTCGCTGTGCGCTCTGGCGGTGTGGTCCTTTGCGCAGATTATCTACCAGATCAACTTCGAGTTCATGCAGATGGTGAAGTCGCGCTTTGGCGACGACTTCTCGCGCTCGTCGCGCATGTCCATCATCGAGGAGGGCGATGTCAAGGTGTGACGCGGTTGAGAGTGACAGGTCGAGGTGTGATGCGGTTGAGGAGCAGAGCTTGAGAAATTGGATGTTCAGGTGTTCCAAGCGAGTATTGAGAGGATGACTGTTGCGCTGTTGAGATGTTAGCTATAACTGCGTCATTGAGTGACTTTTCGTCCATTGCTGCTCGAATGCCAGAATGTGCGAATGGCGAACCTTGCGTCTGTGGTGTCGCAAACTGTTTTTGAGAGTTCTCAAAAGCACTTACCAAAATCATTCAGTCATCGTTCCCTCCCTCCCTCGCCGCTCTCATGGCAGAACGTGCGCATGGCGAATCTGGCGATTGTGGCGTCGGAGTCTGTCAACGGTGTGGCGGCTATTCACTCGGAGCTCATCAAGCAAACCATCTTCAAGGTACCAACACACCCGTCTAAACCCGAACATGGCTCGTTGTCTCAATTATCAACTCTTTCCTCGCCCCGTTGTCAAACGCCTTCTCCATTGTGATGGATTCTCAATGTGTCTGTATTACACGGGATTACATGCAATCTTGTTGTCTCTTTCCCCTGCTCTTTCCGCTGCTCTTTCCGCTGCTCCGTCCCCTGATCCTCTGCTCTATCCCTGCTTAATCGTTCTGCAGGAATTCTATGAGCTCTGGCCCCACAAGTTCCAGAACAAGACAAATGGAGTCACCCAGGTCAGTTGCTCTATTGGCGTGACAATAGGTTTTCCTGCAATTGGCTCGTGCCAATTCTTTCGCATGGATATATACCACCCTGCCACACCCTGCCATTCATACACGACGTCCATCCATTCTGTGTCCTCCATTGGCCTGTGTAGCCCCTCAGACTGCTGGCTGCCGCTCCCCAACCCCCTTGCTTCTAAACTGCCGCCTGCTCTGAACCCTAAGCCTACCCTACGCCTTCTATGATCCCTTGCTGCGCCGCTGGCTGGCGAGCACCGCTTCTCTCGCCCCTCCTTTACTCAACCCGAAACCCTGCCCTTTGTCCCTCGCGCTCCCCCGCAGCGGCGCTGGCTGGCGTTTTGCAACCCGGGGCTGCGCGATCTGGCGGACGAGGTGGTGGGGTCGGACGACTGGGTGTCGGACCTGGAGAAGATCACGGCGCTCAGGGGCAAGGCGGAGGACGCCACCTTCCAGAAGCGCTGGAGAGAGGTGCGCTATACACGTGTCCTTGATCCCTCTTTAGAGATAGCAGACTCATTGTGCATACGTTTGGTATGGCCCCGTTGGAAGCTACCTCCCTGGAAACGTAATCGGCAATGGCTCGTTGTATCTCCTTGATTACTGAGGTGTGTTTCTGCTCTGTTGAGCTGTCGCCACATGCGCAAGGTTCCCATCCTAACTGCTCTGTACGTCTTCTCTGCCTGGATGTCTTCTCTTGTGCACCATCATCTGCAGGTGAAGCAGCAGAACAAGCAGAAGCTCGCTGACGTCATTCTCAAGCTCACTGGTGTCAAGGTGCGTGCTTCTGCTGCTGCTGCTGCTGCTGCTGCTGCTGCTGGAGCTGCTGTTGCTCTTGCGCCCTTTCTGCTTTTGCGTCTCTATTAATTTCGTTCCCCTTGCTGTCCTTGCTGTTCGCTGTTCAAAATGCGCCGATCCAGCTGCTTTTAAGCTGTCAAAGAGGGAATAACAGGTATCCGCGGTCAGCAGTGTCTCACAAGTATGTGTTGTGTCTCATGGACGACATTTCTTATGTTGTGTGGCATGCTGGTGTGGCATGCTGGCGTGGCATGGGATGGCGTGGCATGGGGTGACGTGGAATGGCGTGGAATGGCGTGGGATGGCGTGGGATGGCGTGGCATGGCATGGCGTGGGATGGCATGGCGTGGGATGGCGTGGGATGGCATGGCGTGGCATGTTGGCGTGGCGTGGCGGGTGGCAATGCGAGCAGGTGAGCACGGAAGCGCTGTTTGACATTCAAGTGAAGCGCATTCACGAGTACAAGAGGCAGCTCCTCAACGTGCTCTCCGTCATCCACCGATATGAAGAGATCAAGGTACGTCCCTTGTGATGAGATGCTAAAGGACCTATACAGAAAGTATGTGCCTCTTCAGATTCACAGCTGAACAACAGGGGCTCTTGCCATGCTGAAAGACCAGAATATTTGCTTGTTGCCCACTATGGTTTTTCCCCTTCGTGGTTTGTCTTCGCTTTCCCCTCCCCCTCCCCTCCCCTCGCCCCCCTCCCATCCCTCTTCCCCGCTCCCTTCCGCCCCCCTCCCATCCCTCTTCCCCGCTCCCTTCCGCCCATCCTCACTCCCCCACTCACCTGTCGCCCTCCCCCTGCCATCTCCAGCGCATGTCCTCTGAAGCCCTTCTCTAGATAACTAAGTTCTACTCCCTCCCATCCTCTCTCCCACACTCACCCCTCCTCACCCCCTGCCCTACCATCTCCCCCAGCGCATGTCCTCGGAGGACAAGTGCCGGGTGGTGCCACGAGTGGTGCTGCTGGGCGGCAAGGCAGCGCCGGGGTACGAGATGGCGAAGCGCATCATCAAGCTCATCAGCGCCGTGGGGGAGAAGGTCAACAACGACCCCGCTGTGGGCGACCTGCTCAAGCTCGTCTTCCTGCCCGACTACAACGTCTCCCTCGCTGAGATCATCATCCCCGCCAGCGACCTCTCCCAGCACATCAGGTGCGCTATCTGCTGTCAAAATCATATCAGAATCTGTCTCAAAGGCATCAAAACCTTGGTTATGGGGTCGCCCATCACTTGAGTCTTGCCCTCCCGTCTCCCCGTTCTTTCCGCTGCTGGCTCCCCCTGCTCGTCTCTTCTTTTTCCCCTGCAAATGCTTTTGCTGTTCGTGCTGTGTTTTTTCCCCACCTTCTTTCCCCCCAACAACCTCACTCTCCCCTCCCACTCCCCCTTTCCAGCACGGCGGGAACGGAGGCGAGTGGCACGTCCAACATGAAGTTTGCCATGAATGGGGGGCTCATCATCGGCACCATGGATGGCGCTAACGTGGAGATTGCAGAGGAGATCGGCGAGGAGAACATGGTGCGTGGATGAATAGAAGGGTGATGGTGGGTTGGGTTTGTTGGGGTGTGGTGGGTTGGTGGTGATCGTTTGGTTGTAGAAGCAACAAGGTGGTGATTGCAGAGAGATTTCGAGCAATAAGGCTCCTGTCAGTTTACGAGAGGAGCGATACCAATGCGATAGTATGATGAGTCAGATGTGGTGCATGAGTGGGGCTCACTCCTTCTCTTCGCCTTTCTCCTCACACTTTTCCCACTCACTCATTCTCACCTCTCTCTCTCCTGAATCCCGCCCTCCACAACACTGCTATGCTTGCCGCCAGTTCATCTTTGGAGTTCGAGAGCACGAGGTTTCCCGCCTGCGCCGCGAGCGGCCAGGCTACAACCCAGACGGCCGCTTTACCAACGCTGTCAAGTAAGCCCTACTAGCTCATTCACAGAAAGCCATTGAATGAAAGAAACGAAGCCCAACCCTGCACAAGCTCTTATCCTCGCATCTTACACCTCCATGCTGGGTTCCATTCCCTGCCTTCCGCTCTCACGCCCACCATTTCTCAACGCACGGTCCTTCCAACCAACAAGCAATAAACCATTCCAACAACTAGTTTCCCATGCCAGGCATTCCTGTCCTCTGACACTCTCCGTCCTTTCCCCTCTCTCTTCCCCCTCTCCTCTCCCCTGCTCTTCTCCTTCCAGCATGATCCGCAACGGCCAGTTTGGGTGGGTGGACTACTTTGCCCCGCTCGTGCAGTCCCTGGACGGGTCCATGGGTGGTGACTTCTACCTCCTCGCCAACGACTTCCCCTCCTACCTCCAAGCTCAGGTGCGGCTCAAAACCTTTCACTCTCTCTTGCTCCATTTTCAACAACTCTGCATGGCTCTCTCTTTATTACAAGGGAAAGGAGAGCAATTCTAGTACAACAGTCTGGGCTCTCTAGTCTCCTTCCCAGCTCGCCCCTTGTTTGATGCTCCCTGTGCACACTCCTCCCATGCAGGCCAAGGTGGACTAGACATGGCGGAACAAGGCGCAGTGGGAGAAGATGGGCAATCTGAGCACAGCGGGCATGAGCAAGTTCAGCAGTTGGGACTGTATGGTTACCTAGCTCACCCCTTCCTTTGCTGCTCCCTTTGCTGCTCCCTCTGTTGCTCCTCCTGCAAACCTCTCACAGGCTAAGGTGGACGAGACGTGGAGGAACAAGGGGCAGTGGGAGAAGATGAGCATTCTGAGCACAGCAGGCATGAGCAAGTTCAGCAGTGATCGCACGATTGCCGAGTATGCCAAGGACATCTGGCACGTGCAGGCCTGCAAGCTCGACGTTGAGGCCGCTGCTGCTGCTAAGGAAGCTAAGAACAAGAGCGCCAACTGAACCGACAGTGAATTAGAAGTTAAATGAAGGGAGTAGCATGTTTCGAATGAGCTGGCTGTGGTGGGCATAGCAGATGTTTGCTTTTGATGGCAGCATTAATGTTGTGAAGTTATCAACACCATACCCTTACATTGGTAAACTTGTATGAGTACTTGTACACGGCACGATTGCTGAGTAGGTATGCCAAAGACATCTGGCACGCACTGGCCTGCAATCTCAAGGTTGAGGCTGCCACTGCTGCCAAAACTGTCAAGAAGCCAGCTGCCATACAAGGTAGTAGTGACCCCCCTCTTCTAGTTGGGTCCAGCCTGAAACTTTGGGAACACTCTGAGTTGGAACAATCGATTCGAGCCTTCCCACTCTCCTGGTTTGCCCAGGAATACCTTTCTCCCAGTTGTACACTAGAGGCAGCAACACCCGAGTTGTCGCTGAGTTCGCCTGTGTCAAACTATACATCTCACAAAACTCTTGTACTGATCTAGTAATTCAGGTTAGCTTTTATAGCAATACTGAAGTCCTAGATATGGTCAACGAATTCGACTGTACTTGTACAATTGAACATTAAGTCATCTCGGGGGAGCTGGTACTGAAGTATCCCGCGCAGAATATGAAATAACTGCGCTTCGTCAGCACTTTGGCGGCCACTGACGTCTGAACCTTCGTCAGCACTTTGGGTTACTCACTTTTCATTCGCTAGCGAAACGCTTGCGCCGTACCTGAGCGGCTTGTGGGGACCACCGAAATCCTCTCCTTGCCTCCATCCCGCCAGGACACATCCTTGCTGAGACGATGCTGGTGGCATCCTCAAGGCAAGCCCTGGTGATGCTGTTGTTGATGGTGCTCTCATGCTGGATCGTCCGCCTCACGGCATTCTCGAGGTTCATTCCACTCGAGTTTAGCGTAGCTGACGATGACTTTCATGGTTTCCTCAGCTTGCCATGGCTGCTGTCGAAATCCCTTAACGGGTGTTGCTTATCATAGACTACGATCGTTACTTAACGCTTTTTGTTCAGTATAGCCATGAGAGTAGTAGCATATCTCGATAACGCCGTTTCAGCAGCATGCTGATCTAGATTTTGATACGATTCTGTTTCTGAAGCCTGAATATAAACCGTACTGCTTAGCTCGGACGCATGGTACTGGTGGTTCTTAACGTCGAAAGCTAAAGCTTCTCCATCGTCATAGTTGCCGCGAATGATGATTCCGTTACGTTCCACCACCTATATTTCTTGCTGATCGCTTATGGCGTCTTAGCTCAGCAATGATATCGCTGATAAGTTTTTCCCGAAAAGGATCTCCACAGCTTTAGTTCTCGCGTATATTCCGTTTAAGCTTCGAGACAGTTAAATCTGTCATCATGATACGTGAAGCACGTCAATCGACGCTAGCGCGTTATGCAGCACCGTTTCCTATCAGAAGTCTTAGGAATGACATTCGAAGTGCTTTCAGCGTCTCAGGCAATACCGGAACCTTTTTCAGGCAGCCCCGTATGCGCATTCAGAAAGTATCGCCGGAAGCACGGAGTCTTCTAACGGCATACGTTGACATGGTCGACAGCTTTCACTACGATTATCAGCAGCAGCAGCAAAAGAAGCACATCCAGACGACAGAAGAAGATGTTTGCGATAAGGTTTGTCTTCTTCGCGGTACTCGAAACTCTACGAGAGGCAGCATCGCTGATCCGCTAAGCTCCATAACGGTCGTTGCTGATCGGCTGCAAATATCCACAGGTGCCGTCACTAATCCGCTAAGCTCCATAGCAACGTCGCTGATCTGCTGAGCTTCGTAGCCACCATCGCTTGCAAGAACGATGCATGACATACAAATGGCGTCGCTGCCGCTCACGGATGGCTCAGCCCGTGAATCTCTAGCAGCAAGGTGACTCACGGCGACACAGTGAGCAGCGAACGGGAAGCGTCGAACAGCCTGTTGGCAGGTAGCATCGTGCGACGATCGGCGAGTGGCGGTATTGGGGGATTTCGAATCTCGAACAGTGGGTGACGACTGCCGAACGGCGGTAAGCGTGATGGTTAAGGACGACCAGCGAGCGGCTATCAATGTGCAACTATCGGCGAGTGGGAAATGGTGAATGGCGATTCATTCAAACGTTGAGCGTCGTGCGAGCGGCGAGCGGCGAACAGCACGCAAGACAGCGCGCGCGTGAGAAGGGGTGGTGAGGAGCTGACAGCGAGTCGCTGTGACACCGTGATTGGCGTTGGTGATGAGGAGCACCAATGCTGACGACCAACTGCGTGCGACGTTGCGGATACTGACGACTCACGCATGCGACGTGTGCGGACGATGGCGACCAACAACGTGCGACGATGTGCGGATGATGGCGACCAACCGCGTGCGACGATGTGCGGATGATGGCGACCATCCGATTGGGACGCTGTATGGAATGGCGAAGAGCTGGGTGCGACGATGTGCAGAATGGCGACGCGACGATGTGCGAAGTGCGACGAGCTGCGTCCGACGTCCTGTGGAATTGTCCGTCCGACGACGGCGTGCGGAATGGCGATTGCTGCGTGCGAAGGCGTGCGGGACGGCAGCTTTCTGCGTGCGACGGTGTGCGGAACAGCGACGCAGCTGCTTGCTGCTGCCTTGGACGAGTCAACTTCAGCGGAAACTCTACGCTTCTCCTTAGCTAAGTTCCCGTCGCCGCCCCGCCCCCGGTCCTCCATCGCTCCCCATCCGTCTCTTTCGTTCTTGGCAAATCTCTTGGCACTTTCGTATCTTGGCGCATGGTGGTGGTGGTCCATGGTGCTATGGCAGCAGAGCTCATGTAGAGTGCAGTGTGGTGGGAGTGGTGGGAGAGATTAGAGGGAGAGGGAGTGCTTTCATGCCATGCGCGCGTCCCTCTCTACCCCAGTCCCCCCTCGCTGGCTCAGCTCGCTGCTGTACTGCCGTGGGCCACTGTCGCCATGCGCCTTCCCCGTTCCCCCTCCCCCTCCCCCTCTCCTTCCCCGTCCCTCAACTCGATTTTTGCTAACTTTCAAGTTTCGAGTATCTCAGTCTTGCTCTCAACTGCTTCTGCTCTATTGGCCACTTTGACCTGCTTTTTTCCCACGTCTGAGTTTTTGCCTCCAGTGCTACTCCATTCCTTGCTGCGCTTTCTGCTGCACTCATTCCGAGTTCATTGCCTGCCCTCTGCCCTCCGCCCTCTGCCCTCTGCCGTGCCTTCTCCCCCATCCATCCCCAGGGCGAATGGGTGCAGGCGACAGAGCAGCACAGCGCTGGCTGCAGCAGCACGGCAGTCAGCATCAGTCAACGCCAGTCAACGCCAGTCAACACCAGTCAACGCCAGTCCTCGGCACCGCTGCCATCGCTGCCATTATGGTGCGGTAGGCATCCCTTTAACTGTACCCGCACTCTCCTTGCATGTGATTCCACCCGCTCTCTCTTTCACTCCTCCATGTCACTGCATCCGCTCTCTCCTTCGCTTCTGTCTGTTGCTGCTGGCTGCCCTATCTGCTACACGGCCTGGTTGCTCTTCGCATTGCACTCACAGTGATTTTCCCTCACTGAGGTGTTCAGTGGAAGTCTCCTGCTCTTTCTTTCCCCACCCTTCACTTCTCCCACCACTCCTGCCCCGTCGTTTACCCCTCTACTTTCTTTCCACTCCCCATCTTCCCACCTCACCCTGTCTCCCACCTCCCCATCTTCTCGCAGAGCTGCTTCATCTGCCCTCACTTCTCCGCCATTGCCAGTGGTGGCGAATCCCAAGAATTACCGGTCCCGCTACTGGTATTCTCCCCAAATCACCGCAGCGCACCGCACGGCACCGCAGCGCAGCGCACGGCTTCCCTTCTGGCGTAGATTTCTCTGCTGTTGTTATTTTTCTACCTTTGTCCTTCATGTAGTGACCTGCAGTCTCCTCCCTAACTCCTTCTCAACCCCCGCTTGCCCTTTTCCCCTTGCTGCACCCTGCTTTTTTGCTGGCAAACTGAAGCAGTGACGGCAGCAGAAGCAACAAAGGGCAGTGCAAGGGAGAGCATGTGGAGTCTGAGCTGCAGCTGGTGAGTTCCATCCCTTCCCCCACACACCGCCTCACACAAACACGCACCTCCTCGCACCACAGCGCACAACAGGGCACCAGATCGCACCGCAGTGAACTGCAGTGCACCGCAGGCACCGCAGCGAACCGCAGGGCACCGCAGCGCACCGCAGAGCACCGCAGGGCATCGCAGCGCACCGCACGACCCTGCACGGCCCCGCAGCGCCCCAAAGCGTAAACGCAGGGCACCACAACGCACCGCACGGCACTGCAGCGCACCGCACGGCACTGCAGCGCACCGCACGGCAGCAGACGGCACCGCAGAGCACCGCAGGGCATCGCACTGCACCGCAGCGCACCGCACTGCTCCTGCTTCTTGCTTTCTGCTTCCGTCTCCTCCTTCCCCCTCCATCCTGCTCTTTCCTCCTACCTTAGGTTTCTCGTTGTGTCATTTCAAAGCTGTCGCCTTTGCCTTGCCTTCCGCCCTCGTCCAGTTTGCCTAGTCACCTGTCCCCTCGCCTTCTGTTTTTTGCATTCTGACTTGCTCTCAATTTCTCCACGTCTCTGCAAAACCTCATCCAACATCTGACCTTTACTCTGGGTTTTTCTCTCTTTTATTCTGCTTGCAGAGAAAGCAACCAGTGTGGCGTTCCGTGTGCCATGGTATGCACAAGCCAGCAGCCAACCAATCGCACGCCACATGCAACCGACTCACTCTCTGCGTCCACGCTTCTCCTGTAGCTAAGTCACCTCTCCGGCCCTCGCTCGCTCCCCATCCCAACCGTCCTCCCTCGCTCCCCCTCCGTCTCTTTCACTCTTGGCAAATCTCTTCCGTCCCCATGCGCATCCGTCCCTTCGCATGGTGGTGGTGGTCCGTGGTGCTATGGCAGCAGAGCTCATGTAGAGTGCAGAGTAGTGGGAGTGGTGGGAGAGATTAGAGGGAGAGGGAGTGCATTCATGCCATGCGCGCGTCCCTCTCTACCCCAGTCCCCCCTCGCTGGCTCAGCTCGCTGCTCTAGTGCTGTGGGCCACTGTCGCCATGCGCCTTCCCCCCGTCCCACCACTTCATTCTCGCTGTGCACGCCAACCAGGCAACTTCAAGTTTCCCAATGCTCTTACGCATTCCATGTCATGCTTGCAATTTCTCTGCCTGCTTTCTGCCCTAAACAACTTCTCTTTGCATCTCCTTCTCGCTGTGCTTTCTCCCCCCATCCCATGCATCCTCTGGCCTCAGGGCGAGTGGAGTGCAGGCAGCAGAGGAGAAGAGCGGCGGCTGCAACAGCACGGCAGACAGCATCGCCAGTCAACGCCAGTCAAGACCAGTCCTCATCATTCACGCCCATCGCTGCCATTATGGTATGTGTGCATCGCTTTCACTGTACTGCTCCCGCTCTCTCCTAGGCTCTTCACGTTCTGTCTATTGCCGCTGGCTTGCAATGGCTACTCTGGTTGCTCCTCGTGCTTGCGCTCACTGTGTGTGGCTCCCTGTGGTGTAGGGGCGTGGTAGCTCTGTGTGTTGCACGGGCCTTGCTGTTCCAAGGGGGGAGGAGGTGCATGGAGGGGCGGCCGTCGTATGATGCAAGCCAGGCACTCACAGCGGTGGCTGCAGTAGCATGGCAGTCAACACAAGTCCCCAAAACCCATGCCCGTGCAATGCCATTATGGTACGATATGCATCCCTTTCACTGCAGCCATTCACTTGTTCGCTCCTAATTCCACTGCACCCGCTCTCCCCATTGCTCCTCCATTTCACTGCACCGGCTCTCCCCTTTGCTCCTCCATTTCACTGCACTCGCCCTCTCCTTGACACATCGCTCTGTCTATTCCTGCTGCCTGCTTTCTCTGCTGCGTTCTGTCTGGTCTGCCTGGTGGCTCTTTGTGTTGCACTCACTGTGTCTGGCTTGCTGTGGTACATGGCATGACATTACCTGCATGACCGAACCTGCATGACCGAACCTGCATGACCGAACCTGCATGACAGAACCCTCATGACTGAACCCGCATGACATAACCGCTGCCAGTAGCCCCTCCCTCCTCTCTCCTGCTCCTTCTTGCTTCCGTCTCCTCCTTCCCCCTCCATCCTGCTCTTTCCCTTTATCTTAGGTTTCTCGTCGTGCTCCCTACTTGCGACGGTGTGCGGAACGGCGAAGCTGCTGCTTGCTGCCGCTGCCTTGGACGAGTCACTTTCAGCCTCTTCGCTTCTCCTTAGCTAAGTTTCCTCTCCGCCCCACGCCTCTCCATCGCTCCCCGTCCGTCTATTTCGTTCTTGGCAAATCTCTTGGCACTTTCGTATCTTGGCGCATGGTGGTGGTGGTCCATGGTGCTATGGCAGCAGAGCTCATGTAGAGTGCAGTGTGGTGGGAGTGGTGGGAGAGATTAGAGGGAGAGGGAGTGCATTCATGCCATGCGCGCGTCCCTCTCTACCCCAGTCCCCCCTCGCCGGCTCAGCTCGCTGCTGTACTGCCGTGGGCCACTGTCGCCATGCGCCTTCCCCGTTCCCCCCTCCCCCCCTTCCTCCCGTCCTCCCTGTCGTAAGTAAAGAAAAAAGGTGTGATGGACTATCGAGCAGCCGCCCCTGGCCCCTGCAGCAGCCGCCCCTGGAGCAGCCGCCCCTGGACCCAGAGCAGCCGCCCCTGGCCCCTGCAGCAGCCGCCCCTCGAGCAGCCGCCCCTGGACCCAGAGCAGCTGCCCCTGGCCCCTGCAGCAGCCGCCCCTGGAGCAGCCGCCCCTGGACCCCGAGCAGCCGCCCCTGGCCCCTGAAGCAGCCGCCCCTGGTCCAGCCGCCCCTGGACCCAGAGCAGCCGCCCCTGGCCCCTGAAGCAGCCGCCCCTGGTGCAGCCGCCCCTGGCCCCTGCAGCAGCCGCCCCTGGAGCAGCCGCCCCTGGAGCAGCCGCCCCTGGACCCCGAGCAGCCGCCCCTGGCCCCTGCAGCAGCCGCCCCTGGTCCAGCCGCCCCTGGACCCAGAGCAGCCGCCCCTGGCCCCTGAAGCAGCCGCCCCTGGTGCAGCCGCCCCTGGACCCTCGAGCAGCCGCCCCTGGACCCAGAGCAGCCGCCCCTGGCCCCTGGTGCAGCCGCCCCTGGACCCTCGAGCAGCCGCCCCTGGACCCAGAGCAGCCGCCCCTGGCCCCTGAAGCAGCCGCCCCTGGTGCAGCCGCCCCTGGACCCAGAGCAGCCGCCCCTGGCCCCTGGTGCAGCCGCCCCTGGACCCTCGAGCAGCCGCCCCTGGACCCAGAGCAGCCGCCCCTGGCCCCTGAAGCAGCCGCCCCTGGTGCAGCCGCCCCTGGACCCAGAGCAGCCGCCCCTGGCCCCTGGTGCAGCCGCCCCTGGACCCTCGAGCAGCCGCCCCTGGACCCAGAGCAGCCGCCCCTGGCCCCTGAAGCAGCCGCCCCTGGTGCAGCTGCCTCCTGGAACCTCCCCCATGCTCCCAAACCCCCTCTGCACACTCCTCAACGTCCCTAGTGCCACTCCCCCGGCTCCCCACACCCTCACACCCTCCCCCCCCCAGCAGCAGCTGCAGCAGTGGGAGAGAAAGGAGGAGGAGGGGAAGGGGATCACAGACACCCATCACCCCCATACCCGCCACCTCCATACCCTCCCCCCCACGGCTGCACGCGCAGCAGGGAGAAGAAGGAGGAGGGGGGGGGGGGGTGGCGGGGAAGAAGCCGCCCCACGGCCACAGAGGGGTGGCGCACAGGGAAGGGCAGGGGCGGCTGCACCGAGGGCAGGCGCGTGAAGGACAGGGGCGGCTGCACCGAGGGCAGGCGCGGGTAGGGCAGGGGCGGCTGCACCGAGTGCAGGCGCATGTGAGGCAGGGGCGGCTGCTCCGAGGGCAGGCGGGGGTGAGGCAGAGGCGCCGTCGCGGGCGCCAGGGGCAGGTCCGCAGCGGCTCAGGGCACCGTCGCGGGCGCCAGGGGCGGGTCCGCGGCGGCTCAAGGCACCGTCGCGGGCGCCAGGGGCGGGTCCGCGGCGGCTCAGGGCACCGTCGCGGGCGCCAGAGGCGGGTCCGCGGCGGCTCAGGCCACCGTCACGGGCGCCAGGGGCGGGTCCGCAGCGGCTCAAGGCACCGTCGCGGGCGCCAGGGGCGGGTCCGCGGCGGCTCAGGGCACCGTCGCGCGCCACGGGGCGCACGACGGGCAGGCAGGCAGGCAGGCAGACGCCGCGCGCCCGGGGCGCACGGCGGGCAGAAAACCGCCGTGCGCCCCGAGCACACGGCGGGCAGAAAATCGCCGCGCGCCCGAGGCGCGCAACAGGACGACAGGCAGCGGAAGCAAACTGGTGGGCCCGTTAAGGAAGGCAGCAGGAAGGTGCCTGCTCTGAATACCATGTCGTAAGTAAAGAAAAAAGGTGTGATGGACTATCGAGAGAGTTGGTACAAAATGAAAACCTAAGGGGTTGTACCCCACAGTGAGTACCCCACTAAAGCCTACCTAAACTATAACATATAAACATATGTTTGACACTCCCGCCTCCCACTGTCAATTTTTGCTCAAGTTTCCGAATTATTTTACTAAAATTAATATTTGCTCTCCTCTGTTTCTGCCTCCAATGCTACCCCGTTCTTTGTTGTGCTTTCTGCTGCACTCATTCAGAATTCATTGCCTGAATTCTGCCCTCGGCCAATCCCGTTGCTGCATTCTCCCCCCACTCATTCTCTGGCCTCGGGGCGAATGTAGGGCAGGCGGCAGAGCAGCAGAGCAGCAGAGCAGTGGATGCAGCCATGTCGCGGGCGGTAGATAGCAACATGGCAGTCAACATCAGTCAGCACCAGTCCGTGCGGTACCACGCCCGTGCGGTACCACGCCCGTGCCTTCGCTGCCATTATAATACAGTACAGTATGCATTCCTTTCACTGCACCAGCTCTCTAGTTCGCTTTCTTATAACACTGCAGTAATGTGTGGCAGTGGCAGGAAGTTGGGACGCTATTACACTGCAGTGGTAGTGGCAGTGGCAGGAACTTGGGATGTTATAACACTGCAGTAGTAGTGGCAGTGGCAGGAACTTGGTTGGGACGTTTTAACACTGCAGTAGTGGTAGTGGAGATGGCAGCAACTCGGGACATGAAATTTTAGACCACTGCAGTTGTAGTGGCAGTAGCAGGAACTTGGGACAATAAACGCTGCATTAGTAGTGGCAGTGGCAGGAGCTTGCCTTGCAACACCCAGCATCACTTAGGGTGATTGCTACACACTTACCTTGGACTTGTGTTGGAAGACGATGGGGGTGTGACAAGACAAGGCGAGTAAGCTGGAGTATGACAAGGAGTGTGCGCTGGAGTGTGTGACAAGGAGTGTGCACTGGAGTGTGACAAGGAGTGTGCGCTGGAGTGTGTGACAAGGTGTGTGCACTGGAGTGTGACAAGGAGTGTGCGCTGGAGTGTGTGACAAGGTGTGTGCACTGGAGTGTGACAAGGAGTGTGCGCTGGAGTGTGTGACAAGGTGTGTGCACTGGAGTGTGACAAGGAGTGTGTGCTGGAGTGTGACAAGGAGTGTGCGCTGGAGTGTGTGACCTATGCAGGTATGAATAGTGCATTTGCTCATTTTCGATCTGCTTATTTGCTCATTTGCTCTTGTAAGAATGTCACTAACTACACTCTACCCATCTGCAGTTAAGGCATCGAGAGCTCTACAAAGGATCTTCCCCTCCTAAGCTCCCATTGGTCAACCACCTCCTTGGCAGCCAGCAGAGCAGATCTTAGCTCCCCCAGGTGCACCTCCGTGACCACCTTATCTCGAATGCATGCCCTGCAAGCCGTGACCGTGTGACACTTGGCAGGCTGCCATTGGCTGAAGCCGTTGGCGTCTAAGCAGTTGTCTGTGTAGGTGGAGAGGTTGCGATGCTCGTTGCGCCACATGTAATAGTGCACTCCCCAGCGCAGTGCAATGCTGCCGTGGGTGCGAGGAGACAGGAGGGTGCAGTCAAAAGAGGCTAAGGAAGAGGGTGCAGAGAGGAAGAGGATGCAGAGAGGAAGAGGATGAAGAGAGGAAGAGGATGAAGAGAGGAAGAGGATGCAGAGAGGAAGAGATCAGTTACGGAGAGGAAGAGATAAGTTACGGAGAGGAAGAGATAAGTTACGGTAGTTGCGCCACTAGTAGTGCACGCCCCAGCGCAGTGCGATGCTGCACAGAGAGAATACTGGTGGGAAATATCAAGTGTCAAGCGAACAGGGCAGGAGCCAACACCCAAGAGGGACAAGAGATTCGCAAACCAGCAAATTCTCCAACCCCACAATATTCCCTCTTCCACCCCTCCTCCCCCCCTCTCTTACCGCTTGTACGCGCCATAGTGCCACATGTACGGCATGATCTCTAGCGTGGTGAGACACCGCAGACACCCCACGATACCCCCGCACTCCTCTCCTCCCCACCCCATCCCCATCCTCATCCCCCACCCCATCCCCATCCTCCCCCCCCGAACTACACTACACCTTCCCTTCCACACCTAACCTCTCCCCTCCCTTCCCATCTCCCTCCCAGTGAACCCACCGCTTGTATGCGCCGTAGTGCCACATGAAGGGCATGATCTCGAGCGCTGCTGCCCCTTTCTGCAGCAGCACCACATTGGCCATGGACGCCCCGTGCATCGAGACAAGCAACGCCGTCCGGTGCATCGCCCGCACCTGGGCGGCGAACGGCATAGCCTGCACGTGGGGACAGCAAGCGGGGGGGTGGAGGGGCCAACAGGAGGAGTAGAAGGGGGGGGACATTCAGAAAGAATATAACCAGCTTCTTGCAGGGAGTCTTTGAAACGACCAGAGCGAGCGAGGAAAGAGAGGAGAGGGGAAGAGAAGGGAGCTGGCGGTTCATGTACCTCGAAAGGGACAAACTTGACGGGCAGGCGAGGAAAGAGGGGAGGAGAGCAGAAAAGGGAAGGGAGGAGAGCAGAAAAGGGAAGGGAGGAGAGCAGAAAAGGGAAGGGAGGAGAGCAGAAAAGGGAAGGGAGGAGAGCAGAAAAGGGAAGGGAGGAGAGCAGAAAAGGGAAGGGAGGAGAGCAGAAAAGGGAAGGGAGGAGAGCAGAAAAGGGAAGGGAGGAGAGCAGAAAAGGGAAGGGAGGAGAGCAGAAAAGGGAAGGGAGGAGAGCAGAAAAGGGAAGGGAGGAGAGCAGAAAAGGGAAGGGAGGAGAGCAGAAAAGGGAAGGGAGGAGAGCAGAAAAGGGAAGGGAGGAGAGCAGAAAAGGGAAGGGAGGAGAGCAGAAAAGGGAAGGGAGGAGAGCAGAAAAGGGAAGGGAGGAGAGCAGAAAAGGGAAGGGAGGAGAGCAGAAAAGGGAAGGGAGGAGAGCAGAAAAGGGAAGGGAGGAGAGCAGAAAAGGGAAGGGAGGAGAGCAGAAAAGGGAAGGGAGGAGAGCAGAAAAGGGAAGGGAGGAGAGCAGAAAAGGGAAGGGAGGAGAGCAGAAAAGGGAAGGGAGGAGAGCAGAAAAGGGAAGGGAGGAGAGCAGAAAAGGGAAGGGAGGAGAGCAGAAAAGGGAAGGGAGGAGAGCAGAAAAGGGAAGGGAGGAGAGCAGAAAAGGGAAGGGAGGAGAGCAGAAAAGGGAAGGGAGGAGAGCAGAAAAGGGAAGGGAGGAGAGCAGAAAAGGGAAGGCAGGAGAGCAGAAAAGGGAAGGGAGGAGAGCAGAAAAGGGAAGGGAGGAGAGCAGAAAAGGGAAGGGAGGAGAGGAGAGTTGACAGTTCGTTTACCTCCAAGGAGACGACCTTGACAGGCAGGTGGGGAAAGACAGCCCGGAGGAGGCCAACCATGGGGCGGAAGTTGGTGATGGTGCGCACCCCCATGCGCTCCACCACTGTTATCTGCCATGCCACCCTCCTCCCCGCTCCCCGCCTCCCACTCTCTCTATTCCCCTGCTGCCCCTGCTGCTGCTGTTGCTGCCGTTCTCTGCTGCTCCCATTAGCTGTTCCCTCGGCTTTAGGTCGCCTCAGGGGAAGGTGATCCGAGCTTTTCTGAACTGTGCTGCTCTGCTGCCCTCTGCTCTGGTTTCGTGGCCCCATCTGCAGCTGGAGCAGGTGTCTGCTTGAGTGTGGCTTCACGCTGCCTCTGCTTGTCGCGACTCTTCTGGCACCTGAAGCACCTGAAGCACCTGAAGCACCTGAAGCACCTGAAGCACCTGAGGCACCTGAGGCACCTGAAGCACCTGAAGCACCTGAAGCACCTGAGGCACCTGAGGCACCTGAGGCACCTGAAGCACCTGAAGCACCTGAAGCACCTGAAGCACCTGAGACATTCGAGGCACCCTGTCGCCCTCCCTTCCCCCCTCTCTTATCAGGCCGAGTTTCCCTCTGACCTCCCCCTTTCTCTCCCGATTTACCCTCCTTACCCTCCTTTCCCTCCTTTCCCTCCTTCCTACCTGGCCTTTCATTCCCGCCATGTCCACCTCCCCTACCTCTTTCACCTCTTTCACTGTGTCCATCTGTCCCTCTCCTCCCCCCACCACCACTCACATTTGTCTTAGCCTTTTTCTCGCTTTCCCGACTACCTCTCGTTCCCTTCTCATCTTTCTTCTTCTCACTTCCCCCATTGCTCTCCCCTTCTTTCTCGTCTTTCTTATTCCCCCCACTACTCCTACCCCCCTTTTCAACATTCTTCTCACCGCCCCCACTGCTCCTCCCTCCTTTCCCTTCTCTTTTTCTCTCTCGATTCTTCTCGCCCACATCCCCTTTTTCCACCCCCTTCCCCACCCCCTTCCCCACCCCCTTCCGCCCTCCATCCCTCACACCACCCCTCCTCAACCCCCCACCCCCTCTGCCTCTCTCTCCCCCACCTCTCCCCCCTCTCTCATCCCCCACCCCACGTTCCCCTCTCCCTCCACCACCCCCCCCCACCCGTTCAATCTCATCCGTCCAAATCCACGGATCGGTCAGCTGGGCTTTAAGGGTCGCGCCAAGCCCGGCGCCCTGCGCCACCCAGAGGCGGAAGAGGTCAGCGGAGGAGGGCGCGTGGGCGATGGAGAGCGGGAAAAACGCGTCCTGGAAGCACGTCGTGTGGGTCCAAACTCTCCCCGCCTCCACTGCTGGTGTTGACTCTGCTGCCAGTGGTGTTCCTCCTGCTGCTGTCTCTGCTTCTCCCCCTGCTGCCCCTGCCGCCCCTGCCGCCCCTGCCGCCCCGGCTGCCCCGACTTCCCCTGCTGCGTCTACTTCACCCTGCTTCCTCTGCTGTCTCGTGCCCTTTAGCCCTCGCATGCCTGCGTGGTCTTTCGTGCTTTGATGCTCCCTCAATGGACCTTGGAGGGCTCTCATGCCTTGATAGTCCCGCATGGCTTGAGGGCCACGCATGGCAACGGCGCCCGCTGCTGCCACCCACCTTGAAATTCCCGCACTGAGAGGGGTGGAGGGGAGAGGGTGGTCAGGAGAGTGAGGACAGAAGGGAAGGAGAGAAGGGAAGAGAGAGAAGGCAGACAGCAGCGCCAGCTGCCGCCACCCACCTTGCTATTCCCGCACTGAGAGGGGTGGGGAGGGAGGGGAGCGGGTGGTCAGGAGAGTGAGGAGAGAAGGGATGGAGAGAAGGGAAGAGAGGGAGAGCAGACAGCATGGCAACCGCACCAGCTGCCGCCACCCACCGAGATATTCCCGCACTGAGAGGGGTGGAGGGGAGGGGGAGGAGAGGGGGAGGTGAGGGTGAGAGGGGAGCGGATGGCAGGAGGGTGCAAGACCGTGGTGGGAGAGGAATGCACGTGAATGGGAAGACGGGAAGAAGAGGACTCAATGAGCGAAGGGAAGGAGATGAGGAAGGAGCAAAGGGAAGAGAGGGAAGGGAAAGGGAGGAGGGATGGAGAGACGGAAGGAGGGGAGGAAAGAGAGAAAGGGAGGAGAGGAAGGAAGAGAGAAAGGAAGGAGCGAAGGAGACAAGGAAAGGAGAACCGAGAGAATCAGATCACTCACTCACCCACTTGGAAAGAAGAGCACTGGCTGCACGTCAACCCTGTCCCCCTCCCTTCCACCACTCCCACCAGCACCACTATCACCAGCACCAGTAGCGCCACCACCACCAGCATCCGCACTGTCACCAGCAGCAGCATCAGCAGCCGCCCCATTCCCAGATACCACCTCCCTGCTCGCCACCTCGCTGGCCGCCACGTCCCTGCGTGCCCCCTCCCGGCCTGGCACGTCCGTGTCCCTGGCGCCAATGGGCAGGTGCCTGGCGAGTTCAGCCATGGCGCCAATGAACTCCACGAAGTGACCCAGGTGCCCGTCCCTCAGCGACACCACGCCCACGCCCCGCCACTGCTCTGGTTGATCCGCTGAGATGGCGAACGACATGTTGTTGGTGGCGAACGCACTACCCGAGAAAGCACTCCTGCTGCTGCTGCTGCTGCTGCTGCTAGTGTCAGCAGCAGCAGCAGGGACGGGGTCAGCAGCAGGCGGGCGGCCGTGCAGGAAGAACAGCTCAGCGTCACGCGCATGCACAAACGGCCCCACGCGCCCACTCAGCTCCGGCACATCCCGCACGTCCGCACTCGAGAAGTGCTCCTTTCTCAGCGCCGGGAGAGCAGCTTTCCCCGTGCAGATGTTTTCAGAGAGGTTCAACCGGGACAGGTCGTATCTGGGGTCCTTCCAGAACCACACGCCCACGTGGCGGTCCGTGATTCGCTCCCGCAGCATGATCTTTTCGATCTCGTGGTTGGCGACGGGCACGGAGTGGAAGAGGGGGTTGAAGGCGTAGCACACGTTGTGCACCCACAGGGCGCACGCGTAGTCGCCCTGCTGCTGCAGCAGCCGCAGGAAAGTCGCGTTGGACTCTGCTGGTATCGAGTCGGCTGATAGCGAGTCGGTTACAGGCCTGGTGGCTGCACTAGTAGCAGCAGCAGCAGCAGCAGTACCAGCACCAGCACCACCAGCACCAGCACCACCAGCACCAGCACCACCAGCACCAGCACCACCAGCACCAGCACCACCAGCACCAGCACCACCAGCACCAGCACCACCAGCACCAGCACCACCAGCACCAGCACCACCATCAGTATCCCCAGCTGCTGCTGCTGCTGCTGCTGCTGCTGCTGCTGCTGCTGCTGCTAATCTTTCCTTCCCCAGGCTGCGGTTCTCCTCTTGCTGCTCCTTCATGAGAGCGCTCCACCCGCCCTCCTCCTCCTCCCCCTCCTCGTCCTGCTCGCGGAATGCGGGGTCGGGGAGTGGGTTGCTCATGCGCCACCCGTGCGCCCGCAGCCAATCGCTGAGGCTCTGGCTGTCGCAAGGGGCGAATAGATGAAACGGCGGGCCAGAAGGATGTAACTGGGGGTCAGTCTGGGACAAGGAGTCTCAGTAGCGGATCCGTGTTAGAGATGTAACGGGAAGGGACGGGATGTAACGAGTGAGGGAGGGGGGTGGTGTGGGGGAAAGCGGGGATGTAACGAGGGGGGAAGGGATGTAACGTACCGCTGGGTCCAACGTGTGTTGAGATGATCCTGCGACTCGAGCACCAACAGTCCCATCCGAGGCCAACTGAGCGTCAGAGTGAGAATGTGGGAGATTAGAGGGAATTTTCCGGAACATGCCATGCCTGATCCGCACGTGCCACGGGTACTGCTGTTGACTCCGTTGACTTTGTTGCTTGCTCCCCGTTGGGTGATTGTGACTAAAGCGAGGGTGTCGCTGCGAGCCATCGGTCGCTAGCGAAGCCACGTGGGATCGGTGCAATTCGCCTATAAGCACGAGGAGGAGGATTAACGACGCCACGCCGTACAGTAGCAGCGCGCGAATCAAGCCGTCGCTTTTAACGGGGGATTTGGATTTCGCAGGGGCGGGTGTGACTGCAGCGAATGTTCGTTTGCCGTATATTGGACTCATAGCTCCTCGGAAATGTGATTTATTTTCGCCGGCATTGGCGGGGCCGCGGGACGAAGAAGGAGGGCTGGAGGCGGGTGAGGCGAGGGATGGCAGGTGTGGCGAAGGGGAGGACGACGGCGAATCGTGTAACGCTCTTCGCGAGACTGTTGTTTTCGCCGCGCTGGAATGTTTCGCGACGACCTCCGTCGGTCGGTCGGGCTGTACTGCTCGCGCGAAGCCAGACTGCTGCTGCTGCTGCCGATTCCGGGGCGTTCGAGCCATGACGCGCGCGTGGTGCACGCCGAACGTTTGACAATGGCGCGTGCGTGCAGACAAGCGTGCGGGCGAACTAGGAGAACGACATTAGGGTGTGGAACTTAGACTCAACTGGTAGGTAGTGGCAGCATAAAAGCCATATTTGTTGTTCGCGTTACAGAGCTGCTCCACAAACAATTATTTGTCCAATTTACTCAGCACATATATTCTAGTGCCAGATTGGAGATCTCGGGGGCGCCGGAATTTGTTGGTCTGACTCGGGTTAGGTCTGGTTGGGGACCAACCACACCGGCTCGTCTGCTATGTTCCGAACGTCCCTCCTTCACACTCTCCCCACCACTGGGGTGGACTCTCTGGTCCGGTCTGGGACCGCTGCCCATGCTCCATCCACCCAAGCGAAAAGACCCACTGTGCAGCATCTACGGTCACGATGAAACCGACATAGAATTTGGTTCCCGAATATCATCCCGAGGATCATCTGAACAAATAACCCCGTTTTTTTGCCCGACATTAAGGTCTGTGCGGTTTCATCAACCAGAAAGCATACTAAAGTTCTGTATAACGTTATTAATTGTGGCCTTAGCGTTTCCCTTGAAGTGGCCTGAAAAGTCATGTCGGAGGTTTCTCTCGTGCACAGTACCCACCATCATACCGTTCGTGGTAGGTGATCACAGCGTTTCCCTTGAAGTGGCCCTTTTCTTTTCGCATTCACGCAGCAGCAGGTGATGGAGTCGGTGACTAGAGAGTTCAGGGACCTACTTTTCCTGAGTTATGCTGACGATACCTATATCTTGGGACCAGCGGCTAGGATTCTAGAGGCTTTTGGGGTGCTGCCAGAGCGGTTGGAGTGGGTGGGGCTGGAGGTGCTTGCGCACAAGTGCTGGTTTTGGGAGCGCGAAGGCGGGGATGTGGAGCAGGCACTGCCATTAGGGATGCAGCAGGTGGAGGAGGGTCTCACTGTGGTGGACGTGCCTATTGGGGAGGAGGATTGGGAGGAGGTCTGGTTACGGGAGCGGCTTCGACAGTTGCAGGCGCCATTGCCATGGCTCCCCCTGCTCGACCACCCCCATATGGCTTCACATCTCCTCGCCATTGCATTTTCAGCACGGCCGATGTACCTGGCCCGAACTATGCCATCGCGTCCAGAGGTGGTGGGCGCCTTTAGGGATTGGGATAGTTGTCTGGAGGATTGCTTTGAGCCGGTTTTCCCACCTGGCACTTGGGAGCAGGACGCTGACCGGTCTAGGCGCGCACGCATGCAGGTGCATCTCCCTGTGCGACTCGGAGGGTTTGGGATCCGGGCGGCTGCCTCTTTGAGTCCGCTGTCCTATGTTTGTGGTTGGGCGCAGGCCGCGGGATATTGCACAGTTGGGGGTGCCGGGCGAGGAGGCGATGTTTGCCGAGTACCTCACCACTTCGGTAGGGGCGGAGTTTCTTGACCCGTAGTTTGCCAAGGCTATTGAGCAGTTGCCTGTGACTATACACCAAGAGATGCCGGGCTTACCTCTGTGTGTAGCGGCCCCTCCTCTTCGGCTTTTCCAGGCGCGGCAGCGGCAGTTGGCTGTAGAGGAGCTCCGGGCACTGCGCCGCTCGGCTCGTGACGATGTCACACTGGCCCGTTTCACATCCCTTCAGGGCCCGGGGGCTGGTGCATGGGTTTCGGTGGTCCCAGCTCACTCAGATCTCACATTCACTGCGGCTGAGTGGGGCATTGCTGCTGCTATACGGCTCTGGCTCCCAATTTAGCAGCTGCAGGTGGCGGGGAGGTGTGTTTGTGGAACAACGTATGTCGACCCAGCAGACCCTCATCATGCCCTGAGATGCAAGCACCAGCACGGTCCATCTCGGGTGCATGATGAGGTGAAGTTTGCGATGGCGAAGATCTCTAAGGTGTCAGGGGGGGTGGTGACGATGGAGGATAGTGTGGTGCTGCCGGGGAAGCGGGTTGACGTAGCGGTGCGACGACCAATGGCCGAGGAGGCTCACGCTCTAGAGATCAGCGTCGCGGACCCGCTATCGCTATCTCCATCTCTGCTAGGGCAGTGCGGGCGTTCTATAGGTGTGGCGGCAAAGGAGTGGGAGCGTCGCAAAACGAGTGATTATGCGCCTTTGCTTGCACGCAACCGGGGCGTGCAGTTCGCCCCTTTGATAGTAGAGACGTGGGGGTGTCTCAGTGGTCGTTTCCGGCGGTGGCTTTGACAGCAGGGGGACGCGCACGTGGGGCTAGCTGTGTCACGGGGGGCTTGTCGGGAGGACGACACTTCGTTTTCGGCTTATCCTTTGGGGTCTCTGAAGGCGCTCATCGAGGTGGCGTTACAACGGGCGCAAGCTCGTGTCATCCTGCGTCGGGCGGCGTCTTCCATGGGAGGGATGAATGTGGATTTGGTGGACCGGGAGAGGGACGGCGCCGAGGTGGAGGGCGGGGCTCTTTGGGTGGAGGCCCCGTACATGGTGGATGCGCAGATGTGACTGAGGGGGGGTGAAATGGGGTGCGTGATGGGGTGTCTTGATGGGGTGTCCGGACTCGGTGTTTTGATTGGGTATTTTGATGGGGCTTTTTATGGGCGTTGTGTTTGGGATTTTTTGGCAGTTTTACTTTCCTTCTCCCTTTCCTTCTCCCCCTCCCTTCTCATTGATTTATGTCTCTCTTTCCCTATTTCCTCTTTGTGTGTAGGATCAAGAAAGTTGGGGAGACCTGTGCTGATACTGTTCGTCGCGATACCTGGAGCCCACGTCTGGAAACATGTGCATAGCCCACAGTACACAAAACCATCAAGACACCCCTGAGAACAGAGCACCACCATCATTCTCCATTCCGCGTGAACCGCACACACAGTGTTCCCAAGTTTGCCGAAGTTGTGCAGATTCACGACTATGTCGCCTTTGCGGTGCGGAATCGGTCTCCAATCTTCGAGTATTTACTAGCCAACCTGCTCCATGTGAAAGGTTGAAGCAGGACTGTTTTGCTCCTATCGTTCACGGCGTCATTGTTGCTTCTTCTCTGCGCGCGAGCTGTGCTACCTGATCGATCTTTAACCTCCGTATGTCACACCGGCTATTGTCAGTCTTGACGTCACCACCTCCCGATAAGCTCGCTTCGCCCTAGGCGTGTGTCCTGGTGACGAAATGCAGCGGCATGGAGGCCGTCGTCATGGCAAACAAAATGCGACTTTCGTTGGCGCGTTTGAAGTAGATAATCAGTCATCTTCAATATATATATATAAAAAAACTCGATTCCTCGATTTCTGAAAGAACGTTGAGTGATTCCGCTTAGATCCGTCGCGTGCAGTCGACTAGAGCAGTCGACTAGAGCAGTCGACTAGAGCAGTCGGTTGAAGCAATCCAGTTTTCCGGAAATAATCAAAACATATCGCGATTGCCATACGACGAGAATGCGAGGCGATATCGAGCTCGGTACTGTATAGAGTCGCGGGTGATCCTTTGACGAATACATGTACCTGACGCCTGTGATGGCATTTCGCTGTTAGCGGAGCGGCGCGACCGTTCCAACGCCTAAGCCCGGCGACGTGTCGGTCGCTGATTGGTAGCGATAATTATGGGGGTTGACGTGGGGCAGGAGTCGAAGCGGCAGACGGACGTGGTGTTCGACGGGCACCGGTGGACCAAGTACGGCCAGAAGGTGCTGCTGCACTCCAGCTTCGTGCGGTGAGTGCTTATAACGAGGCTCAAGCTTATATCGAGGATCAAGCAGCTCGTTAGTACCCCACCCTGCATTTCCCACAACTAATCGCACAATCTCCCTCCTCCCCCTCCCCTTTCCTCCCACCCCTTTTCATCCCCGTTACAAGGTCCTACTACCGGTGCAGCTACTGCAGTGCGGCCAAGGGGTCATGCCCGGCGCGCAAGCTGGTGGACCGGCATCCCTCCAATCCGCACGAGATCCGCGTGGGGTACCACGGCCGCCACAACCACGCGGGCCTCAGCCCCGCCTCGCCCACCATCCAGCGCTCCGTCACTCCCCCCCGGGACCTGTCCGCGTCCTCGCAAAGCATGGCTGCTGCTGCTGCTGCTGCTGTCGCTGCTGCGGAGGCATCGGGTGCTGTGATGGCGGGTGGTGGGGCCGGGAATGGGGAGGCGGGGTTGGATGGAGGTGAGGGTGATATTCTTGTGTGTCGTGATGTGACGCCCCTCCTCGTCGCCCTTGTCGCTTCCTCCTCCTCCAACCACCCCCTTGCCCCCCTCCCCCTCCTCCCCGCCCTTGGCAATTCTCAATCTCATCAATGTGCCGACTTTGCCTCCCCACTGCTCTCACAGCTCCAAAATTTGTCTCTTTGCGGTGCAGGTGCAGCTGGGGAAGGTCAGAGCACGGCAGGGAGGGGGGACGCGCGGATCCCCATGCAGTTGGGGGAGGAGACAATGGAGGGGGGGGAGGGCGCGGAGGGAGAGGAGGGAGGCGAAGGGGCAGGGCAAGACCTGGACTACACGTGAGTGTGGGGCGCATGGCACCCTGGGTTGGCTGCACTCAGCTGCACTCAGCCGCACTCAGCCGCACTCAGCTGCACTCAGCCGCACTCAGCTGCACTCAGCCGCACTCAGCTGCACTCAGCCGCACTCAGCCGCACTCAGCCGCACTCAGCCGCACTCAGCTGCACTCAACTGAACTGACCTGCACGTACCATGAGTGACGTGACTCGTCCCTGTTCCTTCTCTCCCCTCCCCTGATCGTCCCCTGAGCATCCCCTGCAGCAATCCCCAACACGGCAGAACGTTCGAAGCCATGCTGAGCCGCGGAGAGGAGATTCTGGTGGGGACGGACGACGAGGGGGGGGCCGACGAGGACGTGAGGTGACTCCTCCCTGTTTCTTCTCTCTCCCCTCATCCTCCTCTTCAACCCTCGTCCCGTGACAGAACGTTCGAAGCCATGCTGAGCCGCGGAGAGGAGATCCTGGTGGGGATGGATGACGACTGGGAGGGTGAGGAGGAAGGGGAGGAGCAGGGGGAAGGAGAGGGGGAGGGTGGCAGGGAGGGGGCGCAGCAGGGGGGGCGGGGGGAACAGGCGGAGGGGGATGAGCGGAGCTGGCGGGCGCTGCAGTTGCCAGAAGATGGGTACCTGTGGGACCCGCCTAGGCGCCACAAGCCGCTGGTCAACTCCATGTACATCCGGTGAGTTGGGGGGATAGGGGGGGGGGATTGGGGTGGGGTGGGTGGAGGCGGGGAGTGGGGTGGGGTGTGCTTATGCATGTGGTGCACAGGGGGGTTGCTGCAGCTACCAGAAGACGAGTACTTGTGGGACCCGCCCCGCCGCCACAACCCGCTCGTCAACGCCATGTATCGATGCGCATTCCATCCCCACTTTCTGCCCATTCCCCTCCCCACAGGGTGGTGTACCGGTGTGCATACCACCCAGAGGGCACCGCCAGGTGTCCAGCAGTGAGAGTGGTGGATATCCACCGCGCCAACGCGTCCTCCCTGCAGCTCACCTTCACTTTACCCCAACTCCACCCCCTACCCCACTGCCTCTGTTACTCCCTTCCCCCCTCCTCCCTCCCCACAGGGTGGTTTATCGGTGTGCATATCACCCGGAGGGCACCGCCAGGTGTCCAGCAGTGCGAGTGGTGGATATCCACCGCGCCAACGCGTCCTCCCTACAGCTCACCTACACGCGCCCCCACTGCCACCCCCAGCCCGTCCGCATCCGCCTCACCCGCCGCCCCGCCACCCCCCGCTCCTCCACCCCCCCTTCCGCCCTTCCCCGCGCCACCACCCCCCGTTCGCGCTCCCTCTCTGTTGGTAGGCGCAAGGGGGAGGGGGGCGGACGTGGGGAAGGCAGGGGAGGGGCTGGGGAGGGGGGAGGAGTGGGGGCAGGGGGAAGATCTGGGGAAAAAGAGGTGGGGGGCGGGGCGGAAGCGGAATTGAGGGCGTTAGTGAAGAGGGAGGGCGGAGGAGGGGGGAGGAGTAGTGGGAGGGGAGGGGGGTGGGGAGAGGGGTCGGTAGGAGGGAGTGTGGGGAGGGAGCAAGGCACAAAGGATGAGGGTTTGGTTAGGAGTGTGGGGTGGAATGGTGCGGCGATGGGGGTGATGGCTGGGGTGGTGGGAGCAGAGGGCATGGAGGGAGTGGATGTGCGGATGGGAACAAACGGGACGGCCGAAGCAGAAGAGATGGTGGGAGGAGAGGGGGTGGTGGGAGGAGTGATGGTGGGAGGAGAGGGGGTGGTGGGAGGAGAGGGGGTGGTGGGAGGAGTGATGGTGGGAGGAGAGGGGGTGGTGGGAGGAGAGGGGGTGGTGGGAGGAGAGGGGGTGGTGGGAGGAGTGATGGTGGGAGCAGGGGCGGGTGTGAGGGGTAACTCTGGCTTGAGTGCTGGCACTGGTGGTGGTGGGGGAGGTGGTGGTGGTGGTGCGTTGGGTGCACCTGGGGCGTTGCCTGTGGCAGGAGGGGTGTCCGGCACTAATGACAGGCTAGGCCCAAGCCCTCCTCCACTCAAGCGAGCAAAGCTCTCAAGAGCCTCAAACCTCGCAGCACCCCTCAAGGCAGCATTGTGTGCGCTCACCCGCACGGTTTCTGGGCAGGACCAGTCGTGGGGGGGCTTGATGGGAGGAGGGATGGGAGGAGGGATGGGAGGAGGGATGGGGGGAGGGATGGGGGGAGGGATGGGAGGAGGGATGGGAGGAGGGATGGGAGGAGGGATTGGAGGAGGGTTGGGTGGAGGGGTGGCAGGAGGAGCACGGAGAGTGGAAGGAGGGTTGACTCGAGCATTTCAGGAGGCGGAGGCTGGGAATGGTGGGGCGACGGGTGGGCTTGAGTCTGCTTCGTTACAAGCACATCCTCTACTGTCAGAACCGTTACAAGCAGAAGCGTTTCAGGAAGGATTGTTAGAGGGAGGCATGTTGCCGGTTGAACCGTTACAGGAGGAGCTATTACAGCAGCTGCAGCAGATGCAGCAACTGCAGCAGCTACTGCAGGAAGAGGAACCGAGTGCTATGAAAGACATGCCACCGCAGCAGGAACAGCAGGAGCAGCAGCAGGAGGAGGAGCAGCAGCAGTCGCAACAGCAACAGCAGCAGCAGCAGCAGCAGCAGCAGCAGCAGCAGCAGCAGCAGCAGCAGCAGCAGCAGCAGCAGCAGCAGCAGCAGGTGTTAGGGGCAAACACTAAAAACAGGAGTGGATCCCTGGCACAACAAGACATCAAGGGATCAATAGCAGGCACTGCAGTACCACCAGCTGACGTGCCTAGCAAAAACTTCCACGCGGGAGGACCAATGGAAGTTGGCAGCACAGTGGTTGCTGCTCAGGCTGGAATTCGTTCCTTGCGACGACAACACCATCTCTCATTGGATCAGCTCGCTGCAGCAACACCTACTACAAATGCTCCTCTCCCTGTTGCTGCCGCCACTGCCGCATCTGCCGCCGCTGGTGCCACTGCCGCTGCAGCTACTGCATTCGGTGGTGCTGCTTCAAGCTCACCATATTTATCGCCTCACCAGCCTTGCTCGCCCCACTCTAGCCCCACAGCCAGCGTCACCACTGCAACACACACCTGCCCCTCCCCCCTACCTCCTCCTTTCCCTCCTCCAGGCCTTTCCCTGGCTGCGATTTCACCTGGCATTTCGCCTGGCACTTCACCTGGCGTCTCCCCCTTAGGGGGAACTTCCGCTACCATTTCTCCTGGCAGCAGGTTCGGTGCGAACCTGTCTCGTACCGTGCCTATGCTCGGTCCGGCACCTCGGCTCAACCGAACCAGCAGCACAGCCACGGCAGCAGCAGGAGGACTAACAGGCATGGGTGCTGGGAACGTGGCAGGAATAGGTACGGCAGCAGGAGCGGAAATCGGTATGGGAGGAGCAGGTACAGGCACAAGCACAGGAGCACAAGCAGATGCTGCTGGGACTGCTGCTGCTGCCGCTGCTGCTTATCTTGCTGGGGGAAGGTCTGTGTCAGCACCCCTACCTATCCCCCGCCACTCCTCGTTTTCTGTCCAACACAACCCTTTCTTTCCCTCCTCTCGCTCCCTTACCCCGCCAAAAGTGCTGCAGCAGCAACAGCAGCAACAGCAACAGCAACAGCAACAACACCAGCAGCAACAGCAGCAACAGCAACAACAGCAGCAGCAACAGCAACAGCAGCAGCAGCAGCAACAGCAACAGCAACAGCAGCAGCACCAGCAGCAGGAACAGCAACAGCAACAGCAACAGCAACAGCAGCAGCAGCAGCAGCAACAGCAACAGCAACAGCAGCAGCAGCAACAGCAGCAGCAGCAGCAGCAACAGCAACAGCAACAGCAGCAGCAGCAGCAGCAGCAACAGCAACAGCAGCAGCAGCAGCAACAGCAACAGCAACAGCAGCAGCAACAGCAGCAGCAACAGCAACATCAGCAGCAACATCAGCAGCAACATCAGCAGCAACAGCAGTTGCTTCTCCTACTGCAGCAGCAGCAGCAGCAGCAGCAGCAGCAGCAGCAGCAGCAGTGGCAGCAGGTGTCTCCTGCTCATTCCCCCACCACCACCCAGGCAGTCGGCCTTGCTCCAACCTCCTCCCCCACATCCCCCACTGCATCTGGCCTGCTCACAGCTCTACACTTGCACCACGCCCCATCACCCCAGGCCCACTCACCCATGCACTCAGCACCTTCACCCGCCCACACACCACCGTCTCCCTCCCAAACCCTAGACCAGCAACCCTGGCCCGCCCTGCCCTACACTGCCCGATCATCAGGGGGTTTCCCCTCCTCCTCCCCCGCCGGTAGCACTGGCACTGGCTTAAGCACGGGTACTAACTTAAGCACTGGTACTGGGTTGAGTCCGGGTGTAGGTCTAAGCACTGGCCCTGGGTTGAGTGGAGGTATGGGTCTAAGCACTGGTACTGGGTTAAGTCCAGGTGCGGGCGTAAGTGCTGGTACTGGGCTAAGCACTGGGGGTGGGGGGCTGAGTGCAGGGGCTTTGAGTGGTGGGGGCATGGGAGGGGGGTTGAGTGCAGGGGGAGGAAATGGTGGGGCAGAAGCACAGGGAGCAGGGGGGTTAGGGGGAGTGGGTAGCCTTGCTGATTCGAGTGGTTTTGGTAGGTTGAACAGAGCAGGGGCATTGCTGGGGGAAAATGGTTTCGAGGGTATTCACCCTGTGCGTATGACCGATTCCATTGGGTCTGGCTTGGGGAACGATGCGGGGGCTATAGAGGCAGGGTTGGCTCAGAACAAGCTGCAGCAGATGCTGTTGCAGCAGCAGCAGGAGAGGCTGCAGCGGCAGCAGGTGCAGCTGCACATTCAGCAGGAGCGGCTGAAGTGGCAGCAGCAGCAGCAGGAGCTGCTGAGGATGCAGAATGAGGAGAAGGAGCGGGAGGAGCGAGAGCAGACGCGGGCGGAAGAGCAGATGTTGCGAGAACTACAGGAGCAGAGTGAGTCGCAGCAACAGCAGCAGATGCAGAATCAGCAGGAACAGCATAACCAGCAACAACAGCAGCAGCAGTTACAGCAGCGAAGACAGCAGGAGCAGCCGATTTTCGCGCGGAGAATGCTGGCAAGGCAGGGTCTGCTAGAGCGCCTACCCAGTGATGCCTCCACTGCCGGCAATCTCGCGAGCGTGCGAGGACTCTCCCCTCTGCAGATGCAGACAGACGCAGAGGGAGTAGATCCCTTTGCAGCAGGGTCAACTGGTGGTGGGGGTGATGAGTTGCCGCTTGGGTTTGCAGCAGCAGAGCCAGGTGTTTCGGCAGGTGGTTCTGGGGCTGTGGGCGATGCAGCCTTTTCAGCCGGCAGCAACGCGCGACCGGCGTGGATGGGAGCATGGGAGGCACCTGAAACCAACGGTCAGGATCCTCCGGATGAGCTCCCTTCTTTCCTCAAGGATATCCAGGCAGGAGGGCTGTCGATGCTAGGAGGAGGGGGGAGCGGGGCGGCAGCAGCAGCAGCAGCAGGGGGTGGGGGTGGAGGGACAGTAGCACGGCTGTCGTCAGTAGAAGGGAGGGAGTTGCAGAACCTGCTTCGGTTCGGCAGCATGGGAGGGCTTTTAGCCCCTCCGCTTTCCAGACTAGGGTCCCTAGCAGCAGGGGGAGGGGCAGCAGGAGGTGTGGCAGGGGGATGTGGGGGAGGAGGAGGGACAGGTGCGGGTGGAAATGAGAGGGAGACAATGGCACGGCTGTCATCCGTGGATGGGCGAGAGTTGCAGAACCTGCTTCGGTTCGGCAGCATGGGAGGGCTTTTAGCCCCTCCGCTTTCCAGACTAGGGTCCCTAGCGGCAGGGGGAGGGACAGCAGGAGCGGGGGCAGCAGGGGGAGGAGGGGCAGGAGGAGGAGGTGGGGCGGGGGGTGGAGCGGGAAACGAGAGGGAGACAGTGGCACGGCTGTCATCAGTGGATGGGCGAGAGCTGCAGAACCTGCTTCGCTTTGGCAGTATGGGGGGCCTTTTAGCCCCTCCACTCACTCGGCTTGGCTCACAGGCAGCAGCAGCAGCAGCAGCTGCTGCTACTGCTGGTGCTGCAGCTGGTGCAGCTGGTGCAGCTGGTGCAGCTGGTGCTTTACAGAGGCCAAGTCCTGAACGTTCCCCTGTATACTCACCAGCAGCAGCAGCAGCAGCAGCAGCTGCAGCAGGTGCTTCTAGGCTGCAACGCACTGGCTCCCCTGTTTATCGACCCTCCTTCTCGCCTCCTCGCCCTTCCCTCTCCCCACCCTCCCACCGCCCGCCCTCCCCTCCTGCTCCTCGTCCTCCCTCCCCGCCTGCTGCCCGCTCTCCCTCTCCACTTTCCCGCCCCTCTCTCTCGCCGCCCAAGCGCCGCCCGGGCTCCCCTCCAACCCATCATCTGGCTTTTGAGTCAACTCAAATATCATCCCGCCCAGGCTCCCCTCCTTCGCATCGTCTGGCGCGCATTGACTCACTCACTTCCAACTCGCCTCTCACCTCGCCCACTCCTGTGGCATGGGGGAAGCAGCGCGGTGGGTATGGGGGTGGGGATGACTTGGCTGATGGGGTGTGGGAAAGAGGGGAACGAGAGAGGGAGGGAAGGGGAGAGGGAAGGGAAGAGGAAGGTGGGGAGGAAGGGGAGGAAGGAGGGGGAGAAGGAGGGGGAGAAGGAGGAGGAGAAGGAGGGGGAGAGGGAGGGGGAGAGGGAGGGGGAGAAGGAGCAGGAGAAGGAGGGGGAGAGAGGAACGTTGGCAGTGGTGGTGGTGGTGGTATGGGTTTGGAGTTGGCAATGGGAATGGGGATGGGGATGGGTGGAGAGGGGGAGTGGGGATCACTGGGTGCCAGGCAGGGAGATCTGCTAAGCCTTCTCCGCTATGGCAGCATGGGTGGGCTAATTCTCGCCGCCAAGTCACCCCCATCCGGCCCCACTCCTCTCGGAGCCTCCCCTGGGTTTTCTCCTGGTCGTTCCCGTCGGCGTTCCCCCGGGTTTTCACCTGGGCATTCCCCAGGGCCCTCCCCTCTCGCCCCCACCCCAGCTGGTCGGTCCTCCCTCGCTGCCCACAGGGAACCTTCCTGGAGCAACCCCACCCCTGACGCTCTTGCTAGTGCTGCCGCCGCTGCTGCTAATTCTACCATTGCCAATGCTGCGTATACTTCTGCTGCTGCTAATGGTAATGCTAATGCTAATGCCGATCCGAATGGGCCACCAGCAGCACTCAGAGCAGCATCAGAGTCACCCATACCATTCACACGAGGAGGGCAGCAGAGCAGGCAGGAGCTGGGGCCAAATGAGCCACCAGAAGCACTCATGACTGACACTGCTGTGGCTTTCAGGTTTGCCCCATGCCATCCGTGCCTTTTGATATGTCTCAACAGTCGTTTACCCATCCCAACCATGCTGTACCGTTCTTCAGAACTGATACTCTCACTATCTCAGTGCCACCGTTCACTGATACCACTCCATCCCTTCATGCATCATGATCCCGCCCTTCCCCTCGCCATGCATGGCTGTAGCCTATCTGACGGTAATCATTGGTGCGAATGGCTCAGGCCCTTGCCACTTGTAGAAAAAGGCTTCTCTTGTTGTGTTGTCTCCCGCTTCCCATTCAACCCCTTTACCCCTTTACCCCGCTTCCCATTCAACCCCTTTACCCCTTTACCCCGCTTCCCATTCAACCCCTTTACCCCTTTACCCCGCTTCCCATTCAACCCCTTTACCCCTTTACCCCTCTTCTTTTCTTCCTCATTACCCTCCCCTTCCCCTTCTCCCCACCTCTCCCGCCCGTCTCTCGCTTCTGCCCCTTTCTCCTTCGCCTAACCCCAGCCCGGCCAGCCAGGCAGCAGGGGAGGCAGCATGGGCAGAGACGGGGAGAAAGGAGATCACCCATGCTGCCACAGGCAGGCGCATGGAGAGGTGAGTGGGTGCACAAGGGGGGGTGTGGGGTTGAGTTAGGGGGGGGGGGAGGAGGAAGGGTGGGGTTCGGTGTTCAGGGGGAGGGGAGGTTACACGCACAGGGTTGATAGTTGGGGTGCTGGGTGATCTTTGTCAGAGTTGAGTCCAAATTCACAATGCTGTTCCAGTTAGTTGCACATGTCATTTATGCTGTAAGCTTGAGAAGATTTAAGTGAGTCAAGGGTCCTGCGTTGCCTCATTGCAATCCGAACTGCACCCCTTCCGTCAACCCTTGCAGGTTTTATTTCGGTTGTTCTGTTCCGGGCTGCCCGGCGCGCAAAGTCGTGGACGTTCAGCTGCCCAGTTGCCGCCCCATGAGCACTGCTGTTGTGGATAGCGTGTACTGTGGGGTGGATGGGGGAGAAGGAGGCGGGGGAGGCGGGGGAGGCGAGGGAGGGGAGGACGAGGAGAGAAGGGAGCGGATGGAGGAGAGTGGTGGGGAGGGCGTATTTGGGGGAAACCCAGGTGGAAAGAGGAGAAGAGGGCAGGGGCTGGGGGGAGGGGAGGGTGAGGGTTTTGGCAGTAAGAGGAGCTGTGCTGAGCCTGCTACAGCAGGGGCTGGGTGCGACTGGGAGGGGGAGGTTACCGGGCAGGTGACGGAAACTTTTTACGGGTTCCATTTGGGGCACACCCCTCCATCTCCCTCGTCTCTCTTCCGTTCTGCACCCACAGCCGCAGCTGCAGCTGCTGCTGTCACTGGTTCTGACACTCACTTACCAGCACGTGGCACCACCAATGGCACGGCCAATGGCACGGCCAATGGCACGGCCAATGGCACGGCCTCGATGACAGGGTTACCATGGACCCATGAAGGGTGTGAGGCGCGTGCAGGGAGTGAAAATCAACCGATTCTTGAGAATCCCCAACAGTCTCGTGGGGGGTTCGAGTCAAATGGACTCTCCAACATCCTGCGAGTCTCTTCCCTCTTACAACACCAGATCCCTCCTCTACCCCCAACCGACCCCACACACCCTTTCTCTCAGCCTTCCCCCCACCCCTCCCCCCCAGCCTCCTCCCCCCAGTCTCCCCTCAACTCTGCTCCCAACTCGTCTCCCTCCACCCCTCTTCCCCCCTCCCTCTCGTCATCCTCCCCTGCCTCTTCCAATCTGCTCGCCCCACTCTCACGCTCCCTCGCTCGCCAGAGGCCCGTTGCCTCTCTCTCGCCAAACCGAGACTGGGAGCAGTTCGGCAGCTTCGAAGGATTAGGGCGGTTTGAAGGGCAGGGAATGCAAGACAATTAGGTCAGTTGTCTTCCAGGCTTCCATGGAAGGGAATGATGCAGGTGGTTCTACTGGTGTTCCAGAGCAAAATTATTTCAGCCTGCTATTTGCCTCTACACCTTGTGTTCCACATCTCATTTCCCTCCTGAGAGCCCCTTAGTCATAGTGCTGTTGCCCCTGCTTTCCAGAGAGGTGGTTGGGGAAATCTGCATTGGATAGTCACAACTGAACCACACACATGTAGACAAAGATGCAATAAATAAGCACTCTCAGCTTTTCTGCTAGTCGATGACCTCCCTATCGAGCACTATCAGGGTCGGGATGGTGGACGCGCCTTGGATCCAAACCCACTAACGAATCCATCATGTCAATCCCAGTAACGCGTATCACTGCATCAAAACTTCCAACCTGTCGGCCAGCGACAGAATTTGTCGCAGCAGCGCGACCTTTTGTTTCGCACAGGCGCTCGCAGCCTCTGCAGCTTTCTCGCCCTCAGGGCCGCCGCGCGCAACCTTGCTTCCGCATGCGTGGCAGCAAACGCCCTTCACGATAATCTTTCGCAGCTTCGGGCAGTGCAGCGCGATCGTCGCAATTGCCCCCGCGTCGAAATCTACGTCGGTCAGAACCAAAACTTCGAGCTCGCGATGGAAAACAGTTGCGCCCGACGCCGCTGCGAACGGGAAGCTGTTCGCGAGAGCGCCAGGGGTTTGAATGGATCCGCCGAAGAGCTCCAGAAGTCGCAAGCCCGCGCATTTGCGAAGGGCGAAAAGATCGTCGACCTCGAGCCCGCCGTTGTGAATTCGCAGGCACGTCAGGTCCCTCCACGCGATCACCATAAGGTAAATCGCCTGCTTCGTAACGCTGTTTCGCGAAAGGCTCGCGAAATGTCGCACGTTTCGGAAGCCCGAAGTGAGATACCACATGCACCGCGTCTCAAGAGCACCGAACGATGTCTCTACCCCCCCTGACGTCAGCTCAATGCTCTGAACCTGTTTGCAATAGAGCGAGATAATCCATAAAATACTGCAAATCGACGCTTCGTTCCGGCTCGTGCTGTCCTGATCGCAGTCGATAACCACGTGGCGAAGCGACTCGCCGCACGATACTATAATCGGGTGCAGCACGTGCAGCTCGCAGCGCGGGTCGTCGATGAATAAATCCGTCAGCTGCGCGCAACGCGGCGCTAATTGCTCGACGCCGGCGTGCATGCTGCCCGGGCCGATGCGCAGCTTCGTCCAGAACACCCGGCTGTAGCACAGCTTCCGCCACGTGGCGCTCACGCACGCGTAGCGACACAGATCCCATGCTGTCGGCTGTCCCTCCTGCAGAATCTTCAACAGGAGATCCTCTCCCATATCGCTCAACGACGGCCCGTTGGAAGTTTCTTCTGCCCTGGGCAGCGCATCCGTGTCTTCCCGCGCCTTGAAGAAGTCTATCTGCGTGGGCGCGCTTTCTGCGGCGGCGGGGGCGGCGGCAGTGGCGGAGGGAGCGAATGGGTTCGCGGACGGGGGCGCGAGCGCATTGGAGTCGAATGCGGCGTGAGTTGGGGGAAAGTTAAGGTTCTCGATTATCCTGCGTTTCTTGGATAGCGAGTCGGGCTGTGCGAGGTCGGAGTCATTTGGGCGCTGCTCGCGTCGAGTTGCCGCAGGGCCCAGCGCGAACAGCTCGGATAGACTGACACCCATGGAGGGAGAGATTGCACAATCCTAAGGTTCGTGAGTCGTGACGGGAAGGTGAAGTTGCCAGGCTGGGATTTTCAGAAGCAAATCTGCTACGATTTTACTGCTGAGGATCCACAGCTGTGTTGGCCTTTATGGAGTTGGGAGTGTTGGCCTTTGGGGGGATTTGTGAACTCGAAAGAAAGGGACGAAGAGCACAGCCGAAGCGCAGAAAATTGCGGGAGTGTGGGAGGGAAAAAACACCCCGCCACGCGAAGGTGACTGACTAGGGGGAGGGATGGACGGGTAAGTCCATCCTGACACTGTTGCTGGCGAATGGATGTGCGGGTGGGGCTCTGGAGGTCGCCCGGCCAATCAATGTCTTTTTCTCTCGAGGCTTCAGGAGGGACTTGCCTCCTCAGCCACACTGAGAGGTTGATGACGGGAATGTAGGTAGGGCGATGGCCTGGTTGGTGGGATGTATGTGAAATGGGCTTGGTACCGTACCGCACCACACCTCATCTTACCCGAACGGAACCGACATGTGCCTCGTCTCATCCTACCAGATTTCTTCCCCGAGGCTGGCTGCCTGCCACGCCACCCACACCAAGCTCAATTCATTGCCTCAGACGCGCTTGATAGAGCGGCTTCACGTGCACCCGTCCACGTTCCATACGGCTGCTACAGTGCTGCTGTCACTCTAGCGACTGAGGATGTTGTCTATGTAACATAAGGACAAGAAAGTCATGATAAACTTCAATCCAAGTGGGCGCCAAGGTGACGGACTGGGCAGTTACGGCTGTGTGTGTGGTCGGACGCGTCAAGCTTATCAATGCCGTTTTGTCGTAAATATGGTGTTCATGGACTTCCCTAAATTTGTTTGTTTCCCGATGATTCTTGAAGTGTAGGGGTTAAGTGTGTGCATGCCTGTCGAGTTTTCTTCCCAACTCTGAATCGACACATCTCACCCGTTCACACCCACCCCAGTATGTAATAGTCCACAACGTACAGGACTTGGTCTAGTCTGTTTTTGTGTGAAATTTACACATGTTTTTTTGTTCCGATGAGGAGAAACTGTAGCGGTCGACTTCGGTCATTCTGCGTGTTCGGTAGGATTACGATTCTGAAAAAATTGCACTCGGTCTTGACTGCGTATCCTAGCAAATAAGCCGTTGGTAAGGAACAAACTGTTTGATGGTTGATCATATTCACACTTAGGGCGTGTCTGAAGTGCAAACGTCGAGTTTCGTCAAATTTCGTCGACGAAACTCATCCGTGGGACCCACGCGTGTTGGTGTCTGAAGTGCAGCCTGACATCCCTCGACGAAACTCGACGTTCGTGCACATGTCGAGGGATGTCGAACAGTGATACCGGGCAGCTGTTTGAGTCACTGTAGTCAGTGAGTGTTTCAAAAACAATTCTTCGACACGCCATGTCTGCATAGCTGTGGCAAACACACGTGAATAAGAACTAAGACGAGAGCGACACGTGCTAGAGAAATTTCGCTGGCAATGTGACAGTAGAATATCCGGTGTTACCAGCAACAATCTATGCTAAGCGAAACTCGCGAGATTGCAAACAATTGAGTTACATGAATGATTCTGTTAATTCCACGTCGAATTTTCATGGGCAACTTATAACAGTGTTCCTGTGGCACGTGTGGGTTATTTTGTCGTGTGGGTGTCTGAAGTGAACACAGCTGAAAACGGATGTCGAGTTTCGTCAAGGAACGTCGACGAAAGTTTCGTCGGCAAACGTCGAAATTCACTTCAGACACGCCCTTACCAGCCATAAAATTTACGAAAGCAAGTTTGGGAAGGTCCTCCAAGCAATTATACGTGTACACAGTTTCCAGCCACAAGTGTACAGTCTTGGCGTAGAAGTTCGGGAGAAATGTGGAAGAATGAAACTCCAAGCGAAACTTCTGCTTGCTGTTTCCGTGTCCGTCATGTGAGACGCATGATTGACTCGTACAGCTGGCATAGGCTGGGAAGGTGAGGGCGAGGACGCTCTTGTCGTTTTATCAGTGTACGAAAACACGACGGCTCAAGTTGCGACACCCATGGGCAGCTTTTGGACAGCGCGGTTAAAGACATCATGCGACGGCTCTCTTCAATGATTCATAACACAGTTACCACGTGCTACAAGTTGCCACGTGCTCTGACACAGTCACAAAAGAAGACAGAAGCATGTGCCCCTTTGAGAATAGCCGCGAGGGTAAAAACTGCGAGTATGCATTTCGTTTCATGTGGTCCATAATTCAAAAAACATATAAAGAATTGTTGAAATTACCTTCTAAACTTTGCTACCGAGCCGATAAAAGGTACATATCAGTTCCGGCGATCTTCCCTGAGTGTGAAACGATTTCAGGTGGATCGGCTTGTCCCAACTCCAGTAACTATCTGCGCGCTTTCCGTGGAACTTTCTTCGTTTCTGTGCCCCACATTCATTTCACCACCTTCTGTGTTGATGTGGTGAACAGTATGGGCTGCAGCGTGCTCTGTGGCGCCGAACTTCTACGGTGGCGTTGCTTGGCGTACAGCACAACACAGTGCCTTCGATTCAAGGTGGAAATACCAACTGGGCTGCAATGGCTGTTTCTGGGAGAAAACAAAATAACAAACAGACAAACATTTCCGCCCTGTGTTTTCCCTGAACCCAGTTGACGATCACATCTAACGTTCTGATGATTCGAATATTCTATATATATACATGAAAATGTTACCCGTCATATCTTCCCGCCAAATGCTTGAACGAACGCCTTGTTTTGAGCAAAATTGTAACAGCAATTCCACCCCACTTCCCCCTACTTCGCCACATTCAACTCTCAGATGCAGTGCTGCCTCTTCATGGTTAATTTCCAAATATGTTGATAACGTACACTGTTTTACCGGAGCACCTCTTATCTAGAACAAGTTGCGATGCCAACTAGCTGCAGTGCTCCCTCACACTCACGTCTAGCTATTTTCCTCGTGCTCTGCGCCCTGCTTTACGTCCCCACCCCACTCCCCAGGCTGAATGTAGTCCTCTCGTCCCTCTCTCCAGTCTGACGTTCCGACTCCCGAATGCCGTCCTCTCGTCCTGCCCATATGGCCCTTCGCACTGACAGCCCCTGACGCCAATCTCGTTCCACTCACAGCCGTGCATATGGATCAACAAACCATGGCTGCGCACGCACGCCGGAATGGATCCAATGCGTGTGGATGACTCGCCCTGTTCGAGTGTTGCGCAGATCACAGTTGTAACACGAGCTTATAGAGAAACGCCCTAAAAATCACAATAAAGACCCGGGCTTATAGCAAATGCCCACAAAAGGGTCTATATAAGGCTTATAAAACGCCAACAACAAGCACATACAATAT